TGGGGACCGCGTGATCCTCACTGTGCCTGGTTGGAGACACTGCAAGATATGGCTGCCAACCGATGTCAGTGGCGTTCTTGTTATTAGTTTCTATCCAGATTGCCTGAGTGAGTGTTTGGAGGTATAGACACCTCGGAAGTATTGTGTTAAGCTAGCACTAAGTCCCTTTCCCGTCCACTTTTACTCTTTTCTTTACAATAAGGCTTTCAAATAAAAATCATGGCTGTTCGGCAGTGAAGTATCGGTGTTGAACACTGACATCATGCTGTCGATGATGATGATGATGATGATGATGATGACTTTGAGTGTGCCAGTATGTTTAGAAAAGTACGGTAGCTTATCTGCTGCTTGCTTTGCTCACGCCTCGATTGCGCATTTAGTGTCATGTGATTCGGCGTTGACTGAATCCTCTTCAAGTTGAGACCCATTCGTTTTGGGGCGCAGGTTTTTCAGTGTTCATGGATTGTCGTTCTCCCGAATTCTACTGCCAAGCCAATTGCAGCCCGTCAGATGGCCACTAGTCCCAGTCTGTGTGGGGTCACAGGTGGGGCGTTCATACTAAAGGGCGTTTATCGAACATACCCTCATCCATTCTTAAGATTCGGGCTACACTAATTTAACGAATATCATTCCATCACATCAAACTGAAAAATCGCTTTCTGTATAGCCAATGACAGTCTTGCATATCGTAAAATTCAGCGTTTTGTGTTTCCATACTCCATAGCTTTACGAAATGCAGCGCGTTCGTCACGGAGTTATGGCTTTGGGACCGTCGGGTACCGGCAAAACCAAGTGCATTTCCGTTTTGCTGCAGGCTCTGTCTAGCTTAGGTCGACCTCACAGAGAGGTACGCATGAACCCAAAGGCCATCACGACCGCCGAGATGTTTGGCTATTCCATTTCGACCGCTCAGGATTGGGTGGATGGGATATTTACCACACTGTGGCGGAGAACCCTGCGACTCAAACCGAGTGAGAACTGCTGGCTCATTTTGGATGGGCCAGTAGATGCCACATGGATTGAGAATCTGAATTCAGTACTGGATGACACTAAGATACTCACGCTGGCCAATGGTGATCGGATCACCATGGTACCAAACTGCAAACTGGTATTTGAAGTGGACAGTGTCGACAATGCGTCACCAGCAACAATATCAAGATTGGGCATGGTATACCTGAGCAGTGCCTCACTCACATGGGCCATCATTTTCCAGGTAAGTTCCACAGACTGTGCTAGATTATCATCATTTCATGAATAGTACAGTTATTTGAACTTCATCCAATCACAGCAGGTGTAAAGGACATCCCTGTTTTATTCTATTTACGCATCGAGATTATCCATTTAGTGAGAGACCTTGGATTGATTAGTCTAAGTATGGTTGACCTACCAATTGGCGCACCATGCGTTCCAATTGGGAGTGGTCAGCATAAGTACTTGAGCAGTTTTCTGTAGAAAAAAGTATCAAACAGTTCCAGCAGGCATGGATATTTGATAAGAAAGGGATTAAGTCCTCGAAAACTATGGAAGATCTTGTTGAAATCTGTTGTCATTCTGAAGGATCAGACGGAGGTCTTGCAGTATTACTTGAATACCAAACTAATAGGCTTAGAAATGCCGTCACCGATGTTGAAACTGCAAGCGCAGAAGATTTCCGCGGAAACAAACGAGGATTAACACCTCCTGAAAAGATGCAATTGCCAAGATTTTATCTTCAAAGCGACTGAAGTCCCCGCGAACATAGAAAGCCTCTGGGTAAGAAATACATTCATAAGCGATCCTACAAACCTACTTGGTGTGTTTTGCAATGCACTTCTCATAAGGTTGCTGAAAACTCCTCGATAGACCACGACCGGTTTAGCCCTTCTTGGGGCTCATCAGGTAGGCGCAGTCCCCGAGTTTCCGTCAACCTTATGTTCTACTTGAAACCAAATTGTACGAAATTAGCGAATATACACTCGTTTGCAAACTGATTTGGTTTTTCGAGTGACTCATCTGGAACCCAGCTGAATTTCTCGGTTTTTATGTTTTCAGGCGAAATGTGTATATATCGCGATATATACCACGATATATATATATATATCGCGATTTCTCGAATATCGTAGCGACTAAAAAATGAGGCAATCTGGTGCAGCACATTCAGTTGCCTGGAAACATCAAAACCGAGAGATTCAGCTGGGTTCCAGGTGAGTCTCTCGAAAAACTAAGTTAGTTTGCAAATGAGCGTATACTTACTACTTGGTGTGTTTTATTGATGTGTCGCAAATGTCAGTTTCCCCGTAACTTGATTCTGATAATTTTGTATTCTATCTTGTGCGTCCATGAAGCAGGTGTCTGATTTGATTGGTTAGAAAATTCCGACACGTTTTCAATCATTTCCACCGCCTATTTGGTTCAAGACAAATCATGACACAAACCGAGGGATATACTTGTGAATACTAATGACAGACAACTGTGTGCCAGTGATCTCTTTCTACGCTGTGTTTTCCGCAGCGGGCCGGCTCACAGTTATCTAAGAGTAACATTTCGTTTGGGGGTCATTACCTACCCGGGGATCTCCTCAGAATGAGAATCTCCTGCCACCTGAACACCCCATGTAGTGCTACTACTCACAGAGGGTCACAGTATATGGGTTAGGAATATGGCGATACTGTATCTAAACACAGTAAAACTGTATTGTTGAAATCTTCTTAGTGGAAGGGAAAATCTCATGAAAATCTTATGAACCTATACAAGGCTTTACCAGTGTGTAGAGACTGGATAAAGAGTTGGCGTGTTTTACCTCTTTGGCGGCTGCACACCAGACAAACAACGGGGACTTTTTAAACTGACAACCACAACAAGGTTTACTGCAGTGTACTTGACAACTATGGTAGGTTTCAACATCCGACAAAGCTTTATGTGATGTATCAAGTTACCATACAAAACCCTAATCTATGCTGCCGATTTCTCAAGGCCTGGTTGCAAAAGCAGACTCAGCCGGTAGCAGAAACAGTGGGTCCACTGGTGAACAATTTGTTTGGACGAATGCTGAATTTCGTGCAATCGAAGCTGCAACCCCGCGTTCATTACCTGGAGGCGTTCTATATTTGTCAACTCTGCGACTTGTTGTCTGGCATGTTGGACGAGGCAACATCATTCATCAAATTGCAGAATGTGACCATCTTCTGTCTGGTTTGGTCTTGCGGTTGCTTGCTGGATGTTGACGATAGACGAAAACTAGATCAATACATGCGAGACTTGTATTCAGGAGTCGAGCTTCCCGGGAAAGATGGCAGAACTGTATTCAACTATCGAGTGGATGACGACGGTAAGTCACGATAGGTTGGTGGAAGGTTTTCAGAATTTAGGTCACTTGTTGTACGGTAGAGTACACTGTAATGCATCACAGTACAGCATAGAATAATATAGTATAGTATAGTATAGTATAGTATAGTATAGTATAGTATAGTATAGTATAGTATAGTATAGTATAGTATAGTATAGTATAGTATAGTATAGTATAGTATAGTATAGTATAGTATAGTATAGTATAGTATAGTATAGTATAGTATAGTATAGTATAGTATAGTATAGTATAGTATAGTATAGTATAGTATAGTATAGTATAGTATAGTATAGTATAGTATAGTATAGTATAGTATAGTATAGTATAGTATAGTATAGTATAGTATAGTATAGTGAAATTCAAAACCTGTTGTCACACTGGTGTTGATGTGATGGGACATACTGAGGGCTAAAGTTCCGTATGAAAAGAGAAGCATTAGGATCAGGAAGTCCTTAATAACTCTTGTACGTAGTCCTCTACGTAGTCCACATTACAGTCAATAAGACATTTTTTTAAAAATTCCGCTCTTATGGATTCTCCCTTCAAAACCATTACCCTAAATGCTTCACATGGATAAAAATGGTCCAATCGCTTTCAATCAAGAAAAGTGTTGACTGGTTGCCCAAACTCTCATTTGTTACCTGGTGCAAGCAGTTGGGGACATTTTGATGCATCCTGACCATAGTTCATATTCGAAACTTTCAGAATGATTTAGGCGGGCAACAGGAACAGACTGACTATGATGAAACGCTTGGCAGTAATTTGTTCATGCAAGCGAGTCTTTGATGTACCTTGTCGTCCGTAGGATGAACATCCAGAGTAGCATATTTCAGGGGGATCGAAGGTGTTTTTCAGCGCCAGTATAGAGCGTCTACTTGACAGTGACTACAGAGTGGGACTTAATCAGTGTACGGAGGCCAGCCGTCCCTAATAACCGAACATCACATCATTTGGACGGATGTGTCACGTGCAGGACACGGGTCAAACGAAGGCATGCCCTGATTGGTCAGAATGCCAGCCAATCCGAGCCAAGCACCTTTGACTCGACGCTTCTCGCCCCCCTCACGGATATTCTGGCACGACCTTGTGAAACACTCTGTGACTAACCTATAAACACAGCTGTAATGATTTTCCTTTGACTCCATAAAGGGCTGTGTAGAGCTGCCGTGTTTTTTGATACACCATAGTGGGCGGAGCAGGAAGCCAAGGGACCGATACAACGACCGTCCACCAAGTTACAACAATCAGGCAGTTAGAAATCCATTCAGGTGACTCGGTCCCAAGAATGTTTGCCTATTCAAGTTCTCACTCACTGAAGCGCTGACAAGAATAAGGAAGCATTTTGTGGTCACTAAACCTGTTCACTGTGGGCATCATCTCCAGTCCCTAGGACCAAACGAGTTTGACTGGAATTTCCTGTGAATAGATTCAGTCGTGAGGGTTTATTGACTCCCACATGTGAATTTCTTTCATCTTACTTTATGACAAATTCAGGTTTCTGGGAGTTGTGGTCTGAGGGCTTGGAGACCTACATCAGTACAGCTCAAATGCAGCGACCTTTTCATAGCATTCTCATTCCAAACGAGCACACGGTAGCTACACAGATGTTCATGGAAATACTTGGTAAACAAAGCAAAGCCCCACTTCTGGTGGGTGAAAGCGGAACGGGAAAAACTGTCCTGGTGCGTAACTACCTGAGTCGGCTGCGATCCGATTCGAGCATTAGCAAAGTCTACAGTTTCTCCTCATCAACAACAGCAGCCATGTTTCAGGTAAGTTTCACTGTTCAAAATGTGGTTGGGGAGCACCATGGCAATATCACTCGCATTCCATTGAAGAATGTGTCCAGCACCAGAAGCCGCGTTGGTTCGGACATGTGTTGCGCATGCCGAACTATCGTCTGCCGAAGAGAGCGCTATTTTCCATGCCCAACTCAGAGTGGCGTAAACAGAGAGGTGGCCAACCCTTGACTTGGCAGAGGAGTATGAAGGAAATCACGAAACGCTTGAGTGCTGTCGGTGCTACTCGCCTTCCAGGATGAGGACCGCGTGATCCTCACAGTGCAAGATACGGCTGCCAACCGATGTCAGTGGCGTTCTTGTTGTCAGTTTCTATCCAGATCGCTTGAGTGAGTGTCTGGAGGTGTAGGCACCTCGGAATGATTGTGATAAGATAGCACTATGTCCCTTTTCCGTTCACATTTACTCTTTTCTTTACAATAAGGCTTTCAAATAAATCATGGTTGTACGGCAATGACGTATCTGTGTTGAACACTGATGTCATGCTGTCGATGATGATTATAATGATCACTGGCACAGCTTAATGGCCCTGAGAATTCGAATGGATTACGACGCCGCGACTATCAAAGCTGTTATCCAACCCAGTTATGGAGCCCAGTTCTACCCGCATTCGGACCAACCTTCAGAAGACTCCACCGAATTAATCCGGTCATTTCCGCCCTAGCTAAACAAATGCTCCATGAGGGCCCACCATGGCGTGACTTTGCCTAGATCCTGGGTGAGGTACAAAACACAAGAAGATGCTCAAAATGCAGGGTTGGTTGCTGTCACGTGTGAGGAGCCGTGCAAATACCGCTCTAGTCGGAAGTCCTGAATGTTATCAGACATTTTGACACCGTACAAAGTTCTGATATCTAAAGAGGACGCGTTTAAATAACTTGACTATAGGGAAATTCGAATGCCCTATCCGGTTAACTCCAACGTCCGGTTTCAGCCTGCGTATAGACGGTGTTATTCGCCAATCGCTCAACTAGTGTCCGCCACGCCACTAAGTACTTTCTATGGTGGTGGTCTTGAATTTGGCCGAGAAGTGCCGTAGTTGTTTTCGGTTTTATTTCCGTTTGGTGTGCAACGGCTAGGTTAAACCACCAGATTCACCATACGCTTTTAACGTCAGTCTGACTCTCATCAATAGATGACGAGCCCCTACACTCCGCTAAACAAGAAGACGTCATTCTGATTAATGGGACGTTTGCAATATTCGCCTTCGTAACAAGTTCCCACGCTCATCGAGTACTTCAATGAGGTCTCTCAAGTATCAAAGCGCTGTGAAAAGTATATGGGCCTTAGTCAGCCTTCTACATGCGTCGATGATGCCCTTACAATCAACTTCTTGGCTTTGTAAGCAGAAATAGTGTACTATGTTTCGAACAGGGTCCACAATTTTCGCGAACTTGCATCCTCTTTAACAAAGATCCCACTGAATCTACACAAATTCTCCCTGATATCTCCAGTGACACCTTAGTTTTCATTTTGTGCAACCAGTGATTTATTCTTTCTCCCCAATAAAGTACTTCATCTATCTCCGGTAGTCTTATTCATTAGAAGATTGAAAACCATTTCGATGATTTGCTTTCTTCAAACAACTTGTAGATTAAATATGAAGATTTCCGCTTTTATAAAGGAAACTACTCACAAGGTTGCTGAAAACTCTTCGACTGCCTACGACCGGCTTCGCCCTTCTTGGGGTTCATCAAATAGGCGCAGTCCCCGAGTTCCCGTCAACCGTATGATCTAATTGAACCCAAATTGCACTGTTTTCGAGAAACACACTCATTTGCGAATCAGTCGTAGATCAACAACGCTAAACGTTTACTCCTAAGTGAAAACACTTCTGGGTTCTCAGTCCTGTGTTTCGCTATCTAACCAACTGTACGTACAGTGACTAATTTTGCTCACTCCCTTATGATGTGTAGCGGGGTATGGAAAGTTTTATAGAACGGCGCGTGGGGAGCACCTACGGTCCACCGAAGGGAAGAAAACTCACTGTATTCATCGATGACATTAATATGCCCATGCTGAACGAGTGGGGAGATCAAGTAGCGAACGAGCTTGTGCGTCAGTTGATGGAGATGGGCGGTGTGTACAGCCTAGACAAAGTTGGCGAGTTCCTCTCAATCATGGATGTGAAGGTTGGTTGCTCTTTTTATACATTTTTTTCGCACACCTGCTAACTGAATTAGTAGTCTCTGTTTTTGGAAGTTTGACGGGGGTACACCACTGACGACTCCTGTGGTGTCTATGTTTACACAGATACCTCACGTCGTCATCATCCACATAACTAATAGCAACGTTCAAGGTCCGTAGTTCTGCAGCATGACTTTGCCCTTTGTGAGCACAATGCACATGTTGGAGAACTGGCTCATACCTAGTGTGAACTATCGTGATCGAAACCGTAAAGAGTTAGACGTGATCACTATGAAAAAAATCGTTCAGCTGTAGCACCTTTTCGGTGCCTAGCTACCATGCCACCCGAAGGCTGCACGAGGGCTGGGATACTACCAGGTTGCCTAAACCTAGACACTGGAAGCCGAGAGGCAGAGGTCGGGTTCGAACCACTGACCTTCCGGTCAGTAAATTTGCACTCTAACCGCTTGGGCAATTTCGCTCCGTAGGTTTATATTTGCAGGCTTCCCTGTCGGATAGCACTGATGAGGAGTTCAAGACACTGATAGACTGATCGACTGAGATCCAGACCAACCGAATAAAGAGCGCAAGCATGCTTTCACGCGTCGATATCCTAAAAGTCGCGGCAAACCAGCCAGTGTGCTTGTTGTGGTGACCGAAATCAAAACAATTAGCTTGCGAACACTGCACGTCTGACGCGCTATTACCTAATCTCACAATCGCCTCGAACGACTCGTGTCGACTGTGTTATTGCTCAGACTCAAGACTGACTGTCAAACGTTAAATCACTGAATTGATCAGGACTCTACGATGACACTGCAAGTAAAACGACAACGGTTGAACAAACTGGAGAACAAGCTGTAGGTCATATCTGATCTATGTCGTAGATAGGGTGAGGCTTACTCATGAAGTACGACTGATCGAACGAAAACTCTGTCTTCGCAGGTTGGTCCGACCAGTTTATACAAAATCCTTTTAGTGGAATATTGCTTGAGAGGGCTGTTTATACAGTTGCATTCCTCAAGAGAATTCAATTAATCACTCAGATTGGGAAAATAAATAGTTCACAATAAACGAAATCTGTTTGATGTTGACAACTAATACCCGTTTGTCTGCTTCATTGACCACACGCAGGTGGGTAGGATGAGAGTACAAGTACAAATGAAACTAAACCATAGCTGAGCTGTGGCTGGATGTCTTCAAGGACAAAAAACTATAAAGTGCAACTGATTTCATGTGGTATGAGTGACAACACAAAACAGAATAGTCAGAACGTTAGTGTGACCTAACGTGACAGAGAATTCCACAACCCACTCGGTCTTGCATTCGTTAAGTCGATGGTAAACAACCCACTATCATCTGACTGTTGTCAGACTTTCCAGAAGATAGTTTGCTGAAGTCTTCCGTTGTACTATTACTCCCTTCTAGTTTGTGGCTGCGATGACCACACCTGGTGGTGGACGATCGGACATTCCATCTCGACTCAAGCGGCAGTTTTGTCTCTTCTACATTCTACTGCCCAGCGTGGCGACCATTGACTACATTTTCCGCTCCATTGCATCGAGTTACGTTAGCACGGAACGTGGATTCAAGCGCGAGATTGTCAACCTGGTTCGTTCATTAGTAGGGCTGACCCGTGCCATTTGGGAGCAGACCAAGGCCAAAATGCTTCCAACCCCGACCCGATTCTTCTACTTTTTCAACCTGCGAGATCTCACACGTATTTGGCAAGGAATGGTGGAAATTGATCCAGAAGTGAGTTGTTATGCCAGTGGAAGTCATGCATCATCAAATCTGCTCAGCACTACTACCATGGATCCAACCGATCCTTAGTGAAGCCACCCTCGTCAACTCGTCCTTAGCTCCAGTCAACTTATAATGGGTATTTCTGAGAAGCTCTATGATGTACACATAAAGGAAGCCTTCTGTAACATTTTGTGACGCTCCGTCATTAGGCAATTTATCAAGCTGGACGTGCTGCACTACTCATAAGGTTGCTGAAAGCTCCTCGACAGACCACGACCGGTTTCGCCCCTCTTGAAGCTCATCGGGTAGGCACAGTCTACGAATTTCCGTCAACCTTACTTTCCACTTGAACGCAAATTGCACGAAATTAGCGAAACACACTCATTTGCAAACCAATTTGATTTGGTGGGAGACTCACTTGGAACCCACCTAAATCACTCGTTTATAATATTTCGAAGCGACTGAATGTACTAAACCAGGCCGCCTCATGTTTCTCTTGGCACGCCTTTCGAGATATCGCGATACGCGTGAGTCTTCCGCAAAACCAAATTCGTTTGCAAATGAATGTATTCCGCAAATTTATCAAGCCGTTATGGTAATCAAGCTGACTTACAATTTTTGAGGTTACTAGGTAACATGTTACCCATCTCCTATCATCCAAACAGAACTATCAGAGTTGGCTAACGGCTATTTTTAAAACGATCCCATATTGTCATCCCAAACGTGGTACGCTTTTATGTGAGGAGGTAAACTCTGTAGTTAACGATGACGTAAACTCCAACTCACTTCGGCAACATTTTCCTTGTACGCAACTCCATTGATGAAAAAGAACCTGGGGAGGTCAAACGATGACTTGGCAGCGAAGTGTGAAAGGCGTTACTAGTAAACTCATCTGCCCTGGTCATCGCCGTCTCTCTGGATGGTCACTTCGAGATGGGCCACATAAAGGGTAAGAGGTAATCATTGTCAATCATTGTCAATCACTGTACGTCAAGTACGCCGTCCCTACAGCCGATAATGCTGACTATAACTCCACTGGTTTCCTCCTCTTCACTAGTATTGAAGTGTGCTTTGTGTTACAGATTGCTTGTGTTAATCCTATTGATCTACAGCTCATATCGGTTCTGTTACCTCTGGAAGACGCGCCTCAATGATCGCAATGACTGCTCGGTTTGTCATGATCAGCAGTACTGTCGCCAGTTATCTACTCAGTCCTACATTTTCCTAATAGGATATGCTAGGTTCATACGTGTTGGATCATGGAGTGTGACAGTGTAACGGTTATACTACTGACGGGGGAGGCGTGCGAGTAGTATGTTTTCTTCTTGTAAATTCTCTTGAAAAGGGAGATCTATTGCGGATTTGTGGACTCAGTTTGTAGCATTTGCTCGGACTTGAGCAACACTCAATGAATATCCAGGGAGGTTCAGGAAGACACGTTCAAGAGAAGATGGATGTTCAGTTTTTGTGAACAAGGTGCATATGAGAGTTTTGCTTTCCTCTCTGCGGCGAAAGCCTTTTTCCTTTCAACAGTACCCTCATGGAATTCTCGCCATACTGTGCTACTCTAGTTCGGTTGTTCCCACCCCTAAAACAGGTGTAAAAGAAGTTAAGCAACGTCTGAAGTTTCCCTAAATGCTACCAGAACCATTTTATTACTTTATTCTGACTACGCAATGCTTCTGGTTTAGGTGTACGAGACGAAGGACAAAGTGCTGATGCTCTGGCAGCACGAAGTTCGTCGCGTGCTTTCTGATCGTCTGATATCAGTCGAGGACAGAGACTGGTTTGAACATACTCTTCAATCGGCGGTGGATCAGGAGTTTGGAGCCGACTGGATGGAATATGTGTCACAGGAAGTGTTCGTTGTTGATTTCATGAGGTAAGGCTTCAGACAACTCAGACAGTTATAGACGTATACACTACTTATAAGGTTGCTGAAAATTCTTCCACAGCCCTTCTTGGAGCTCATCCAGTAGGCGCAGTCTCCGAGTTTCCGTCAACCTTAGGTTCTACTTGAAAACAAACTGCACGAAATTAGCGGAATGCACTCAGCTTGGAAACATCATAAACGAGGGATTCACCTAGGTTCCAGATGAGTCCCTCGTTACACGATGTTCGTTTGCAAATGAGTGTAGTTCGCTAAAATCGGACAGATGTTCGTCATTCATCAGTTAAATTAAAGCAATGTGCAAGGAGCTTGATTGGAGGGCTTGGATTATGCAGAGGACGCTGTTTTATTGTGTGACAACTGTTTTCCCACTCAGCCTACTCTAAACATACAATGGGATTCGCTCACTTGTTTCACCAGGCGCCTTGCACCTTCAGAGTGAAAAGTCTTAAGTCACGGTTTCACAACCTTTGTGTCCTTCTGAGAGTTCAGAATGAACAACTCGAGCTTTCTGGCCGTTTTACACACCTAGGCAGTCGCATGAGCCGTGACTATATCGAAATAGGTGAAGTCGACGAGCCAGTCACAAACAGCTTCCGCACATTGGGGTCTTTTTAAACCGAAGAAATAAACTTTATTGGAGGTAAAGGATCACGCATACAAGACAAGATTGGTCTTACTTTATGAATGTGAGACTCGGCCCCTCCCATCCGGTGGTCGTGGGTGTCCTCCAACGTTTGATCACTGACGTCTGCATAGCATAGAAGGAACCAGCTGGCCGAAACGAGTACGCAAGGAACTTATGTGTAATTGGGTATTTATGACGCATGAACAGCGAGCATGTACCGAAGGGAGCGCTGTCTTTCATAAAGGAAACTACTCACAAGGTTACTGAAAACTCTTCGACAGCCCACGACCGGTTGCACCCTTCTTGGGGCTCGTCAAGTAGGCGCAGTTACCGAGTTTCCGTCAACCTTATGTTTGACTTGAACCCAAATGGGACAGTAGTGATATAGGAAAGTGAAATGAACATGGCTACCGTCAAACTGAGTGTTGTGGTATCTTTTCGCCTTCTTGATTGTGAACCACATGATCCTGCTCGGATATAATTGCAAACCCTGCAGAACATGGTACCCATCTGATCCCTCTGATGTGTTTACTATTGATTCCTAGTCGGACTAATCAGCTGGAAATCACCTAGCATCGGGCTTATGTCGAGTGAGAATCGCAAAGGATGCTGGCTGACTTCCGCTGGTTGGACTTGACACACAGGCTAATGTAATTACTGCCCAAACGTGTAGGTATCTTATTTTTCATCGTTTCTCTCAAGGACAAGAGACCTCTTCCTACCAACTCCTCTCTCTCTCCTCTCTTTACGAACGCCTTTTTTCTCTTGTTTGTGTGACAGTCAAGCACCGGTATATACTACTCGTGTATTGCTGTCAGTAATATGATGATGATGTTAACCTTGCCTTCCATATTTACAGTCATGTACACAGAATACGTGTTTGACAGTATTTGTCCTGGTGTCTAGCTTCTGCCCGAAATAGACATCAAATCTTACGACCAACAGTCTACAGTACGCACTCAAATGAATGGACAGATTTGCACTGGATTGCTCCGGACCAGTACTCTATCTTTAAAAGAGAGGATACACAGTTGCGCTGTACTGGATGTTCTTCTTAGAGAAGTGGCGGTTGCCTGTTCGCTTATAAAAAATCAACAGCCTATAAACGGGTTATCTGGGTGTTATATCTGTTGATTCGCCGGCCTGTGGTATCTGCTGCTGACCCGCTCCAGTGCCTAGTGTCGGAGAGAAAAAGGCTCACGGAAGGGAACACAATAGCTATATTACAAAAAAGTGGTTGCGAGAGTGCGAGTGCGTGCGAGTGCGAAAAGTACAACGGCCTCAAGCTTTTTATTGGAAGGACACTGTCTGAACTTGGTCCAACGCTAACTCGCGCTGTCTGGGTTTAATGCAAGCCTGTGACGCGCTGCATATTGAGGGGGCGTTGTTTGTCTGGTCAACATCCAGCGGAGCTGAGAGTCTCGGTAGATTTTGGGCATTCAGTGGTTGCTTTCAGGAAGCTGACCTTCCTGATACTGGGGACTGAAGTGGACGTGATGGCTATCTTGATACCATATCATCCTGGATTTTTTCATACGAGCCCCTGCCAGTACGCATTCTCAAGCGAAACTCTCCCATCGTTCTGTATGAAGAGTGTTACCAGTGGAGGTTTTTAGCCTTAATAGGATTTCGCTACCCTCAAAAATAGGTCTTTTTGACGACAACCATCTTTTCGTCAGCACTGCTGTAGAGACACTTTGGGGTTTCGAACGTACTGGTTTCCATTATCTACTGGTCGGTCGAATCAGTCAATGTATTTGCGGTAAGGTGGTTGCTCAAGCCTGGTACAACTTGTATGTAGCTTGAACTTGGCGCACTGTTTAAACCGACTCTCACGCTGAAGGAGCATACCATTGTCAAACTCACTGACTAATTGGATCTGCTTCCCAGTTATTGCTATAGAAATCCCTGTTGGAACGAAACAAAATTGAAAATTGAATTAGGATCACTACGCACATGACGGGTTTCCTTTTTTTTCTCTCCTCACCTTCACAAAGGGACGACTTTCCAAAGTTAAGATCCAAGCATTCCAGTGAGTCCCTATCCACGGGTTTCCTTCTTTTCTCTCTCCAAATTCAAAAGGGACGACTTTCCAAAGTTAAGATCCAAGCATTCCAGTGAGTCAAGTGAAGTTACCCATAGGAGCACGGGAAGCGATTTCCATCGGCCCAAGGTATACGAACCTGTGAGTCAAGCTTCCTTTGACATTTTTTCCATGTTTTATTCGAAGAACAAAACGGTGTTTATGTTTCTGATGAAATTTCGTCAACCCTGGCTGCTTGTAACAATGTGGTCTTTGGCACCTGGCCGTGCTTTCCATTGTCCTGGTGGGGCATTGAAAACGTTGGAGCTGTATGCTTCCCCACTACGAAGCGGAACTGTACTGGTCAAGTAAATTCGATCAACAGATGCCGGGGTCTTTTCACCAGTCAAAAGCCAATGTTCATTTGTTAATCAATATAAGAATCGCGAGAATTTTCATAAAGGGAACTACTCACAAGGTAGCTGAAAACTCTTCGACAGCCCACGACCGGTTTCGCCCTTCTTGGGGCTCATGAACTAGGCGCAGTCCCCGAGTTTCCGTCAACCTCATGTTCTACTTGAACCCAAATTGGACCGTTTTCGAGAAATACACTCATATGCGGATCAATTTGGTTTTCTCGAGAGAATCAACTGAATCTCTCGTTTATCATATTCTACAACTGAATGTGCTGCACGCCACGCAGGCCATGGTTCAGTTGGCACGATATTCGAGATATCGCTGTATATTTTCATGAAGGAAACTACTCACAAGGTTGGTGAAAACTCTTCGAGAGAATTGGTTAACTGACTCAAGTAAGATCGAGATTGCTAAGTGGTTAAGGACCGAAACTACTGCCCGGGAGATCGGTAGTTCGAAGTCAAACTCTTCATATTGGCTAGTCTTGTCTAAGCCGGGGCGACCTGCCAATGTCTCGCTTCGGGTTGCACGTCAGCTAGTCACCGAAAGGGTGTTACAACCAAGTGATTATATACCTCTGTTTATTTCATTTTTGTTTGCTTAGATAGCTCATTCTTCCGTTTACTTACGGGTGGCAGTACAAGGTATTACACCCCCCTGAATATATTTGTCAAATGAATGAAGACACTGTGAGCCAGGAACCTATTGAATCTAACTTGATCTCATGATGATTCCCCCATTAATTTGCTTACCCCGTCTACGCTTGGGTGCTGTCGGTGCTAGTCACCTTCCAGGATGGGGACCGCGTGATCCTCACTGTGCCTGGTCGGAAACACTACAAGATATGGCTGCCAACCGATGTCAGTGGCGTTCTTGTTGTCAGTTTCTATCCAGATTGCCCGAGTGAATGTGTGGAGGTATAGGCACCTCGGAATGATTGTGGTAAGCTAAAACCAAGTCCCCTCCCCGTCCACCTTTACTCTTTACAATAAGGCTTTCAAATAAATCATGGTTGTACGGCAGTGAAGCATCACTGTTAAACGCTAATGTCAAGCTGTCGATGATAATGATGATGATGTACTTTTAAGCTCCACTCGTTTTGCTCTGCGTACCCACCACACACCTTCTCGCAAATGACACCCAGCCCGACAACTGTGCATCACCCTGCGTGTGTGTGTGCATGTGTGCAGCTGACCAACTTACCAATGTGCGTTCGTGTCTCGTTTGCTGAGCCTGTCTTGACCTGTTTTCTCATCGCACCGCCAATCAGAATCACGAGACTGTCCTCGGAAGGGACGACCGCGACCCGCACCAATGAGCCAAAATTCCGCTCGTCGTTGTTTGGTGTGCGGACGTTGACACTGCACCGTACCTGCACAGGCCTGTGCACTGGTTGACGCTGCAATTAAGGTTTGCTTTCCCTTGTGTAAACAGTACCGTAGAATTTCCAGCCCAATTCTACCTTTCGATATTCGGGATTGTCGAACCTACGCGTCACTCAAATTTCCGTATCGGGAACCTAAACACAACCTGACTAAAAACGATGTATTCGGAGCAGCTGGCATTCAGTTAGAGCTGCCACTTTCCTGATCCAACGACGTACTTACTTCTGCTAACAAATAATGATAGGTTGTGACCAATGAGTCTTACAAACAGAAGATTCGGTCCAAGATATGAGTTAGGTAACATCACCTGTATTTCAAGTCATCTGGTGTGGATCTCACTTCTTCGCTTGCTGGGATTTCCATATGTTTCAGTCAGAACTCTTTGAATGTGGTGAAAATATTTCCAAACCGAGTTGGGATTCATCCAATCTGGAAGGAATTCCACAACACAATGATTGGCTAACCTCTTGGCACGCAGCTGGGGGTTGGCCAAGTCACCTAAATCCATTCGGTTGTATCCGACAACGAATCTAGAATCCGAAAGAGGTAGAAAACACGGGGCGGGAGGATGCTTCAATAGTTCTGCGCTACTTGTGCTCACGGAGAACAGTGAAATCACACAAGGAACACTGGGGTCCTGGAAAGTCCAGCAGAACCTCGGTTAAATGGTCTAATTCGGTATCCCGCGAACATTCATTTCGTGTACTTGTTTCGCGCATCGTGCCATGTTTGCTGTGGACTTTGCTCGTCATAGCTCCCAGTAAACGAAGCTTAACGGTTGAAAGCCTCTAGCAAAGGTCGGTCGTTTGTTCCGTGCTTCCACATACACGGAGCGGCTTTATTTCCAGTCTAAGTGCGAGTTAATCACACTGCTGATCAGCCGCTCGTGGCCGAACGGTCAAGGTCGCGAGTTCGAGACTCTCCGGGGTTTCGTGAGATGTACACTGCTGATGATCTCCAATGAGGATGAAACAGTTGTACAATGCTTCTCGGCTTTTCAGCATAGATCGGTTTCACTTACAGGAGGAAATCTCCACAGAAAACCCAAATCTCCTCACACTACCAGTAAAATGAAGAAGGCCTTCGCTGCGGAGTTATTTATTAGAAAATGCCAACTGAACAGTTACAGACTATTGGATAGCGGAGCAAAAGTCTCATATGCATCTTGTTTACAAAAACTGAATATCCATCTTTTCCCTGAACGCGCCTTCCTGAACGTTCCTGGATACTCAGTGAGTGTTAGTCAAATGCGACTCTACAAATTCCGTAATAGATCTCACTTTTCAAGAGACGCAACGCGGATTTTCGAGAGAACATACTACTCGCATGCTCCCACCATCAGTAGTATCACCGTTACACCAGTCCTCCAGCATGTTTGGAACATGATTAAGTGAAAGTTTGCATGTCGGTTTACTTGGACCGTAGTGTTTCTGGATCGATTCGATGTGATTTGAAGCAACTTTACACATCCACAACAATGTGGATTGCACGGTAGATGATATTAAGTTGCCCTTGTGATTACGTGAAAGCGATGTCCTGAAAGGGTGCCACCCGCATGTGAATTTCGACAGCAGACAATGGCGCAGCAAATGGCGATATCAGTGGTTTCAAGAGTGTTGAGGGGCCTTTCTTGTTTAACCATCTATAAAGACTACTTTATGGGACCTTCAAACACCAGTACAAACATCCGTTTGTGGTGAAGTCACCCTAACCAGTGATGTGAAGAGGTTTCACGCATTTGATACGTCATTTAGCTAGCAAAGGTGTCAAGGCATCAAAGTGCTGATCAAATGACCCGCGTGCACATCCTTCTTTTGAATTTAGGTACTGAACATTGATGTACTTCGCAGCCGGATCGAACTTTTGCAAAATCAATTGAACACGTTATGCACGGGCCGAAAATCGGAATTGGTCTTCTACACGGATGCAATCAGGCATTTGGTTCGCATCTCGCGAGCCATACGGAATTCTTGTGGCCACGCTCTGCTGGTTGGAATTTCCGGATCAGGGAAGACATCCCTGGCTCGCTTAAGTGCCCTAATAGCTGGCTACCGCGTTTTCGAATGTCTTACCTCCAGGTAAGTTTTGTACAATTAGCGTAGCAAAGAAACGATTGGATATCAGACCTTTGAAGTTGACCTAAATATGTATTCAATTTAGACAGGAAAACTAAAAAGGGAACGAATATATTGCGCTAATTTCATAGTCTCGGATACCAGACCAATAGTCAATCAGCTCACCTGATTCGCGTATATTCCACAACATGGCCACATCACTGCTCCACTCAAATCGTTGTAAACTCGAATGGTTTATTCCCGTTTCACACCACCAGGCACATTGAGATACCTATTGTTATGCAATCAGACATTAACTTGCGTTCAGAAAGTGAAGATAGGGAGCGGTGATCACAATGAGACAAAAACGCAAAAGCGTGCAGATCAAATGACCCACTGGTGGCGACGCACGCCTAATGGATGATCGCTCTACTGGTGCGACATACGGTCGCCAATGGAAGCAAGAAAGAAAGGAGCCAGACGTACACAAAATCACCTGATATGAGTGTGAAATTAGTACTGTAACGTCAGTTTCAGGTGTAATCGACAACTCAGCTGATTCCAAGTGTGAAACTTATGAGGAACATCTTGGCATGATGAAGGACAAGTGTGCCTTGCGAAAGGGAAAGAAAGAGAGACATGCGATTCCATGTGGTTTGAGCTAAAGGGAGGCGAGAAGGCGTTGACATCATCTCACTACTGCTGCGGTTAAGTTGATCACATGTTCTACCAAGAGCTTCAATAAGCTCGCTTAAATTCATTTCTCAAGTGAGTAACCTGTGCTTTCGGCCAAAGGTGGATAACCCCACTGATTTCGGACAGAGCTACAGCATGTTCTCACTAGCTAAGAACATGGCTTCCAAAAGAATAACAGATTTCAGTGAGCAGCTCACCACCTTATGTGATAACAGTCCGCCAGGTAATGTAGTTAGAGGTGAGAACACCAGTGCAACCAAGGCTGTAACCCATACTGCTCTATTACAGTTCAACAGAAGGGCCGCAATGCTACTGAGTATATTCATGTATATATATATATATATATATATATTGGTAATACATTCACAGGTTCAGTTTCCCGGATGTAGATATTCGCAGAGGTGCTATGACGGAGCGATACTGATTTTTAAAGGAACGGTGTGATGAAAATCAGTGAGGACGTTCAAATCGGTTTTATTCTTTTGAAGGGTTATTTCCTTTTAGACGTTTGACTAGTACAAGGAGAACACGAAGGCCGGTAGCACCGGACAAAATTGTTGCGTCACAAAGTCCAAGGAAGCTTAAGGTTTACCTAAAATTACTCCTGAACATCGCGAAGGCTTTGGTCGATTTATTGCAGCGACTCTGGTAAACTTCGGAACACAGGCAGTTCAACGACAAGCAAGGTGAATAAATATTTGATGGCGAGCAGATGTCTGGTTGCCATAGTGTAACGGTGATACTACTGACTGGAGGCATACGTTTTCTCGTAGATTTCACTTTTCAAGAGACGCAAAACGGATTCACTACTCGCATGCCCCCAGTCAGTAGTATCACCATTACAGTGGTATTCTACACTGACCGGGTATTTCGGTGACTTTGGGACTGAACGGGTATCTCTCCCCTTTCAGTATAAGACACACTAAAGAGCAAGTTATATCTGGCAGGTGTGTCACTGCATCTAAGAAGCAGATCTGCATAGAGGTCCCTTTTGAACTAACACAGAGGCTGGCAACAGCACCAACACGGACGGGCAGCGTAGCAGATCGGACTCGGGGGCTTCCCTCATTCATAGGTGGACAACCAATGGCGATAAATGGGACTGTACATACCTATAATATACAACTAGGGATCAGATAACATTGGTAGAACCGATAGATGTCTCACCACTAAACTGTAAGCATACCTTCCTCTTTTGCCCCTAAATTGCTGGATCGACTCGTTGACAGAACATATCACCCTCCTCCGTAGCCAAACATCTGCTCACTGGAGACTATCAAGGTGGCTCCATTCCACCAATCGCTTACTTGTTCCTCACCGAAATTCACATGTTGTGAGGTTTTACCGAGTTCGCGGCAATAAATCGATTGGAACATTAATTCGAACTCTTAAGCTGCCTCTGAAATTGATGATTCAACAAGTCACATATGAGACATCTTTGTCCCTAGAGCAATACACTCATTTGAAAACTCACTTGATTCCATCGGAATACTCAGCTGAATCCCAGCTTACTCGGTCAATTTTAATTATATTCTTGTTGTGTTCTACGTACTGAACCTGAGAATCTATGCCTTGATTCCCAGCGAAACCCAGTTGGAAGATTTCACGGAGGGGCTCAAGCAACTACACCGCACAATCAGTGACGATTTATTGCAGCGACTCTGGTAAACTTCGGAACACAGGCAGTTCAACGACAAGCAAGGTGAATAAATATTTGATGGCGAGCAGATGTCTGGTTGCCATAGTGTGTGTAACGGTCTACTGACTGGAGGCATACGTTTTCTCGTAGATTTCACTTTTCAAGAGACGCAAAACGGATTCACTACTCGCATGCCCCCAGTCAGTAGTATCACCATTACAGTGGTATTCTACACTGACCGGGTATTTCGGTGACTTTGGGACTGAACGGGTATCTCTCCCCTTTCAGTATAAGACACACTAAAGAGCAAGTTATATCTGGCAGGTGTGTCACTGCATCTAAGAAGCAGATCTGCATAGAGGTCCCTTTTGAACTAACACAGAGGCTGGCAACAGCACCAACACGGACGGGCAGCGTAGCAGATCGGACTCGGGGGCTTCCCTCATTCATAGGTGGACAACCAATGGCGATAAATGGGACTGTACATACCTATAATATACAACTAGGGATCAGATAACATTGGTAGAACCGATAGATGTCTCACCACTAAACTGTAAGCATACCTTCCTCTTTTGCCCCTAAATTGCTGGATCGACTCGTTGACAGAACATATCACCCTCCTCCGTAGCCAAACATCTGCTCACTGGAGACTATCAAGGTGGCTCCATTCCACCAATCGCTTACTTGTTCCTCACCGAAATTCACATGTTGTGAGGTTTTACCGAGTTCGCGGCAATAAATCGATTGGAACATTAATTCGAACTCTTAAGCTGCCTCTGAAATTGATGATTCAACAAGTCACATATGAGACATCTTTGTCCCTAGAGCAATACACTCATTTGAAAACTCACTTGATTCCATCGGAATACTCAGCTGAATCCCAGCTTACTCGGTCAATTTTAATTATATTCTTGTTGTGTTCTACGTACTGAACCTGAGAATCTATGCCTTGATTCCCAGCGAAACCCAGTTGGAAGATTTCACGGAGGGGCTCAAGCAACTACACCGCACAATCAGTGAGAGAGGCGCGGGTTGTGTGTTGCTAATTCCAGATGAAAAGGTACAAGATGAATCCTGTTACGAATACGTGAATCAACTTCTCACAACGGGATATGTGAGTTCTCATTGCTGCTGTTGTGGTTTTCGGATTATGTCTAAAAGTCCCGACAAAGGTTCTGTGAGTAGATGCACAAATAATGGGTAACCTTATAGACTCCAACCGAAGAAGCGCGTGATCATAAACACCACCAAGCAGTGAAGGCAGTGGCGGTGAGGTTCGGTGGTCATCGTCTGTGTTCCCATGGTTTTTAGTGACCTGCTTGTCCACTATTCACCGGAGATCTCATTTTTCGCTGATCACTCGATCTAATCAAGGTTAAGAACTGACAATTCCAATTTCGAAGGTGTGGAAGACAAGAAAGCCAAGGTCGCGTTTGAGGAATAGATGGTGGAGGCCAACTGGACTACTCAACGGCCGAGTTACGACAGACAGGGATTGAAACCAAGACAGAATTCTCTAGAGGTTGCAACCAGCAGTTCCGCCTCTCAAGCTGTCTGAATATGGTTATGTCAGCCGTACTTCCCCTGTGGTATGACGCGTCATCAGTTTTCCAAATCAGTATTCCCTGCTAAATGCGAAGTGAATCTATCAGGAAGATTAGCTTCCTGAAAGCAACCACTGAGTGCCCGAAATCTACCGAGAATCTCAGCTCCGCTAAATGGTGACCAGACAGACAACGCCCCCGCAATATGCAGCGCGTCACAGCCTTGCATCGAACCCGGACAGCGCGAGTTAGCGTTGGTCAAGGTCAAACAACGCCCCCGCAATATGCAGCACGTCGCAGCCTCGTACCAAAGCCAGACCGTGTGCGTCAGCATTGGACCGAGTTCCGACACTGTCCTGCACTCGCACGCACTCACGATCTCACACTCGCTTGTTCGGAATATAGCTGTTGTGTTCCCTTCTGTGAGTCTTCCTCCGGCACTAGGCCCTGGAGCGGGTCAACAGCAGATACCTCAGATTAGTGAATCAGCAGATATGACAGAATCCCTTCTGAAAAGCGTATCGTCATCAATTTAAAAATGTAGCTACGATTGATTTGTTTCCGTTATGCTGTTAGCATCCGTTTACTTTCAAACAAATGGATGGCTCATCTGTGATCAGGTTCATTTTTACAACATGCAGACACTATCTAATTGGAGCAAAAGCTTTGATTCCTTGACAAGTGGCTTGAAATCTGTGGGACATAGGTGAACACTTTGATGTTTTTGGAAGCGTAATGGGTCACACAAGTATATATGGCAATTTTGAAAAATGTTGAATATTGAGGATGATGTGGTCTGCCTAAGAGTCATCAAAATAACTCTGTATGAGGTGCCTTAACAAAAGTGTGCATGCAAAAGTTAGAAGGATAGAACTTTGTTGAAAATATGCAGGTGACCGTCGTGACTGACTTTCAGTAGATGACTTGTACTCTCCATTACTAATGACACCGTGCTTTTATCAAAGGACCTGATAAATCAACACAGCTTATGTCCAAAAAGCAACTAAGCCCAGTTACTCTTGTCCCATCTTTTCCCACAGTCACCGAATTTGTTTCAACGAGAAGAATTTGAAGAACTACTGGGCTCAATCGAAGGCACATCAGCTTGCGGCGCTTCAAATCAATCAAGTGATCTTGAAGGCCGACTCGAGGTGTATCAGAACCGAATACGAGCCAACCTTCATATTGTTTTATGCTTCTCGTCACTGAGTTATAGTTTCCGGCAACGAGTGATGTGCTATCCGGGACTGCTCTCAGGTTGTGTACTCGATTGGTGGGATGAATGGCCCGAAGAAGCCTTGATAAGCGTGGGTCATCGGTTTCTGACCGACTTTCCTCCAGTTAATGAGCAATATGTGAAAGCCGTTGCCAGCATTCACAATTCCGTAGTCCTTGCAGCCAACGACTATTCCAACAAATATCAGCGCAATATATGCATTACACCGAATAACTTCCTGATGTACACAAAAGAGATTAAGCAAGTATGTTTCTTAATAATAGTCATTTCGTTATCTGTTGTCCAAGCATGGTTGTTCTGTGGTTCCAAGTGGATCCTATCTGTTGATCGTAGGCTTTGAAACAGTGCAGCTCCATTAAGAATTGCCTTCGCATTTCCTATTCTCGCCGACTTTATGTGATACTGTGTAATATGTCTGAATTGGTCCCACTTGAGTATATTCCGTCTGTCACAGCAAAATTTGTACGGTTTATAATGATCCTGAGAGCCAAATGACTTTTCACTGCGACTGGTGATCTGAAATCGCGCGGAATTTGAAAACTCGCCTTTTGATAATGTATATTTTAAGCTGACAGGAGACGAGTCTTTCTTCCGTGATGGCTAGTTCTGAGAGAAGCGAGAAAATGGTGAATTAGTTCCCAGTGGATCCCGAGACTTTTATAGTCTTCCACGAAAGAAAACTCGCCATATCCGTATCTCATTCTTATAAAATCTGTCGACCCAGTTTCCCATTGTTCTCACATCTATTCGTAATGCTACTTACCGGACGACACTGGCGCTAGCCAAGTTCGACATGGTAGACAATAAAAAACATTCTACCCCGGATTTATTAGATGATACGTCATGACCAACGTCAGAACTCTAGTGGATTCATGGTGTTTCCCTAAAGTACGTACCAGTGAGTCACGTCAGTAGCAATTGTACTGTTGTGTCTTGGTGGACGATCGTGCAACTCTATCGGCTCCTTGGCTTCCTGCTCCGCCCAATACGGTATATCAAAAGGCACGGTAGCTCTACACAACCCTTTATGGAGACAAAAGGAGAATCATTACATCTGTATTTATAGGGTAATCACAGACTGTTCCACAAGGTCGTGCTAGAAGCACCGTGAGAGAGCGAGAAGCGTCCAGTCAAGGATGCTCGACCCGGATTGGCTGACATTCTGACCAATCAGGGCATGCCTTCGTTTGGCCCGTGTCCTGCACGTGACATCCGTCCAAATGATGTGATGCTCGGTTATTAGGGACGGCTGGCCTCCGTACATGTACCATTTTCGCATGATGTCAAGGTTATCGGCATTTTGCGGGTCTTGGTGTAACGGTGGTTACTACTGATGGGGCATGTGAGTAGTCTGTGGTTTTCTCGTAACTCTGCCTCGCGTCTAATAGAAGGTGGGGTTTAGTACGGGACTTGTGAAACTGCCTCAAGCATTCGTTTACAATTGCTTGATAGTCAGTGAATATTTACGAAAGTTCAAGAAGACGCCTGAGGAGCTTTTAAAACAAGGCTCATATGCGATGTTCACTTTCCTGTCCGATAATTTATAACTTTCTAGTTGATGTTTGTTAATAAACGACTCTGCGGCGAAGGGCTTTCCTCCTTATAGTGATAGCATGACAGTTTTGAAACCGTTTGTTGGTCCAGTTCACGAGAGATGTTTTGTACAAATCGGACCGACGTTGCAACTAGCTAGCAAGGGTCAGCTAGGAGAGTAGATCTTGTTTTGCAGTATATTGTTCAACGAATCCGGACAACTGCTGACCAAAATGAGCTTGTATGCAAATCAACTCTTCCTTTTAGACGGTTCTTGCAGGACCGAATTCATCTGTTCCTTTGGCTCCTCGTACGCTAGCATACGTTATAGCTTTTCTTTTGGGCTATGGTATTCACAACAGAATGAACGGGGTAAAGATTACTGCGATTAGTAATCATTTGAGGACGTGATTGCATACTGCTTCGACCAGGAACTCACTACCAGTAAAACGTTCTTAGTCGACTTATCAGATGAGCAGAATACTGCTGGCGAGTATCGCAAAGCCGAGTCAAAGCGGGAAAATTTGTTCTCCTTACATTGTCTTTCAAAGGAACGAATTCATTAAGTGGATGAAACTTCTCCCATTTAGGCTACAGTGAACGGCTATGTCCTGTGCATAAAGCTTACCCTGTGTCTGCTTTCTTCACGTGCTGGGTATCAGCGAACGTGAGCAGCGGCACACTGGAATGAAGAAGCTGAGGTCTCACATAGAAATGGTTCTGACTGTGAACATTTCAGTTTTCAGGCTGTTCACCACACGGCCACGTCCCTGCATTCGACTCGTTTCCTTCTTCAAGTAAACGTAAAAATTCACGAATGCTGGTTGGCTATTGTGAAGGTCAATCCAACTGTGTTTGATTTCAGACATACCAAGAAATACGGGATCAACTGAATTTCGATTTGGAACATATGGAATCCGGTGTGGAGAAACTGCTCGAAGCACAAAAGTCTATCGATGAACTTCGTCGGCTGATGCTGCAGAAAGAAACCGAATTGGAACAGGCTAACCTCGATGCGAATAGAGTGCTGGGTGTTGTGAAAATGCAGGCACACATAGCCGAACAGACTAGAAATCACATGCTGCAAGTGAAGGATAGACTTGAATCAATAGTACATTGCATCAGTGTGGATCGTATGGCGGCACGTGAACAGTTTGAGGCCGCAAAACCTGCACTGCAAGAAGCTGAAGAGGCACTTAATACTCTTCGTCCGTCTGATATAGCCACACTGAGGAAACTTCAAAAGCCACCACATTTGATTATGCGCCTCATGGATTGTGTCATGATTATGTTCTACTCTCGTCTGGAGCCAATCAGAAGTGATCGTGAACGGGGAACGTTCTCGACATCGTGGAACGAAGCGTTACGTCTTCTGATGAATCCCAACTTTCTAACCAATTTGTTGCAATACCCGAAGCACCGAATGAATGAAGAAATAGTCGACTTACTGGAGCCTTACACAAGCGCGCCAGACTACAACATTTCAACGGCCAAGAAGGTGTGTGGGAATATGGCAGGCCTGTTGCAATGGACCCTATCCATGGTTCGTTATTACTGGGTTAGTAAAAGAGTAATTCCTTTGCAAGACAATCTGGCCGCTTTGGAGGCCAAGCTTGTCAAAGCGAAAGCAACTCTGAAGGCTGCTGAATGTACTCTAGAGGAAAAAACGAGGTTGCTAGAAGAGGCTCAAATGGAGTATGAAAATGCGCTGGCAAGGAACATGCGTCTTGAGGACGAAACTAAATCATGCTATGATCGGCTGAACACCGCACATGCTCTCATCGATGGCCTTGGCAGTGAGCTAAATCGGTGGACCTCAAAAAGTGTTCAGTTAAAAACGGAAATGGAAGAACTAGGCGGGGATGTACTACAAGTTGCTGCATTCCTTACCTACTGTGGAGCTTTCAATCAGTCGTATCGAAATCGCTTGTTGACTAGTTGGCATTCGGAGCTTATTAGACAACAAGTACCTCATCGATCCAAAATGGATTTGATTTCGTTTCTTGTGGAGCCATCGGTTGTGAGTATGAAGTGTTTTACTACTGCGGTTATGGTTCACTCTTGTTCGTTGACTCATGTTGCACTGTGCATCAAAACTGACTTCAGCAGAGAACGGGTTAGGGGTAAATCGCCGTGACATTGGTTAGTTTTGCCTTCAGCAAGAAAAACACGTAGAAAAACCTGACATAATCGGTTCGAATTTCCCCAAAGATTCTTGAAATCCGCTCTTCTAATGGAACAGCGCTACCTTGATCCTTGCTTTTCAGTGTAGGCTGGATTCCTTTCCAAGATGAACTAACGAGCTAGTGTATATCCAATGCAGTGTCGGGTCAAACAAGGTGGCCGCATGTATTTTGTACTCTTGAACAAGTGACTTGAGGTTTCCGAAACTATGTATTTACACAATGGAAATCGGTCACGAATTCAGTAAAAAAGCAAGCTGAGTGTTAGCTTACGGACATTTGCGCTCTGAGCTGGACGTGATTAGCCGAAAAATCAAGAAATACTGTTAAGGTTAACGGCTTTTCTTGCAATATACAACCAATGTCAACAGTTCCAGAAAGGTAGTACCCAGGCGATATTTCTGAAATGTTTTTGAGCGCCCCACAACCGAGGGGGAGTTCCTCATCGGTATTGTGATAAAACTACAAGTTGTTCATTTCGGTAAGAATAAGAGTCTTCTCTCAGCAAAGCCCTGCATATCCATATCGAGCAAAAGTTGTTCTCATTGTTACATCTCGCATACATTGATGTGAGGCTGAAAAAATTATGCTCGCAGGGCCATATTGCAACCCGATCTACCAATATTTTGACAAATCCTGTCATAAAAGATTGCTCTACGATTTTCATAAAGGAAACTACTCACAAGGTTGCTGAAAACTCTTCGACAGCGCATGACCGGTTTTGCCCTCCTTGGGGCTCATCAGGTAGGCGCAGTCCCCGAGTTTCCGTCAAGCTTATGTTCTACTTGAACCCGAATTGGACTTTTTTCGAGGAATACACTCATTTGCAAATGAATTTAGTTTTCACGAGAGATTCAACTGAATCTCTCGCTCTATGATTTTCGCGTAATTATGAATGACCCTGACTCTGAAGGGTCATCGTTAACGGTAGTCAACAGTAGTCCCAGTAGTTGGATTGAAATACTGAAAGTTTAAGTGATAGAATGACAATACTGATCAATTTCCAAAGTGTTGCTAACATAACCGCAGTCCATGGATCATTCAGCAAAGGTTAAGTTGCGAGGTTTTAGACAGGTGCCAAACTACAGAACTCTGTACAAGTCCGCTAGACTCCCAGTTGACCGAGTCGGACACAGTCACTGACAAAACTAGCACCTACGTGTTAGCGAGAGACTCACCTGCTGAATCTCTTGTTTATGATGAGCTCCAAGAAGGGCGAAACCGGTCGTGGGCTGTCGAACAGTTTTCAGCAACTTTATGGGTAGCGCATTACGTCTATACGTGTATCGCGATATCTCGAATATCGTACAAACTGAAACATAAGGCGGCCTGGTGCAGCACATTCAGTTGCTTAGGAACATCGTAAACGAGAGGTTCAGCTGGGTTTCAGTTTAGTCTCCCGCTGAACCAAATTTGTTTGCAAATGAGCGTATTCCGCTAATTCCGTGCAATTCAGCTCCAAGTAGGACTGATGAGCCCCAAGAAGGGCAAAATCGGTTATTAACTGTCGAAGAGTTTTCAGCAGCCTTACGAGCAGTGCATTGCGTCTATACCACCTAGGTATCTTACTTGTGAATGGGTTCCAAGTCAGACACGGTGGAACATTTGCATAAAATGTGTTAGCTTTCCAGTTTGGACTCTCATATAAATGTATTGGATGGCCATACAATTTGCACGTTTGCACATATCTACCCGTTGTTTTTCAGTTGAATGACTGGGCTCTACATGGCCTGCCCGTTGATGAAGTGTCTGTTCAAAACGCGGTAATCACAACCAAGAGTCACCGGTACTGTCTGATGATAGATCCTCAAGCCCAGGGGAAGACTTGGCTAAGCAGTTTGTACGCAAAAACTATTACAGTAAGTCTTCCAGTACATGAACGCTCGAAGCTTTTATAACCTCCAATTTTGCTTCTGGGATCTCAGTGAAAGTACACCGTCCATGATGATGATAACGATGATGATGATGATGATGATGATGATGATGATGGTGATGATGAACGATGGTTTGATGATGGTGACGGTGTTACGTTTGTGAGAGCGTATTTTACATCTTTTTACAGTGTGATCAGTGACAGTCACAATGACGCTGTAGTATGCTGTCTAGTTAATTATGAATGCTTTAGTCCTTTGTGTGACTGCTGCATCTTTGAAACTCCTTGTGTTTCGCAGTAGTGTCCAATCATGGGAACTCTGAATTCATGCAAAAAAATCACCAGACAGTTGGTGTGGCATTTTTAAACACGAGTTTTGAGGATACACCCAAGTCAAAGCAGCGTTGTCAATTAATCCAAGAAGCAGGTGTGTCTTTCGTCTTAAGTCTCCACAACAGATGTGCCGGACGCAGAATTGAACCACTTGGAAAAGAGTAAAATCCCAGAAAAACTGGATAGTTCATACTGAGCTGCATCCAATGCAACAATTAAAAAGGCCTGCCGTTCGATTTGAATTTGAGGTGAGCAGGTATCTTTACTAGAATACCTCTGCCAGAGTTAGTAGGGGAAATCTATTCTCAAAGCTCAGTTTATCGGAGGCGTGTTTTTAGGGAGACCCTTATAAACATCAACATCGAGAACTCGGTAGGATTAGGCGCGCACCTGCGACATTTCAACAAATTGTGGAAGCCATGCCAAGCACTTTGTCATTCTCTGTCCCCAACATCGATAGCGTCATCAATGCTAGTCCTTCACTAGAAGACAACGAAATGCATTTGGGCAGACTTTTTAGTGGTATCCATCAATAGGGGTTTATCCAACAAGCACAGAAGTGTAAACGTTCTTCACTCAAATTAAGGTACGGTGGATTGGCCATTCATTCTCAAGGACGTCATCCTGATCTAGATTTATACCTTTGGCATTGAAAGCTTTCCTAGAACGGGTAATGGACATAGTTACAATGATGTTTAGCGTTTGTGAATCATTGTAACGTTTTTTTAACAAACACGTATTAGTTCTGAACACCGCTTGACATGCAAATACACCTATTGATTTTGATCACTGTCATGACAGCCTGAGTTCGACAGAGTGAAACATATACTGTCATCTTAACTGTGAACAAATTGTGACCCATTAATGTGGAGGATGACGCTTCTGTTATCAGCATTAGAGCAATCACGTTACATCCATTGTCGGAAAGCGGTCAAGCACCGTAGCACTCTCTGACGGGAAGTACAGTGGGGTAGAAAAAGGAAGCATGGTTCTGATTTTTTTCGGTCAAGAAATTGTACAAGATATTACATAGACACGGGCACAGAACATACACCGTTGTTCGCGATATTTTCTCCTCCAAAGGGCACACCTGCCCACACTGCCAGTGATTTGAACGGTGGGCCACCTTGGGTACAGTTCTGGGTTCAACTACACTGATACTGGTAGCTTTGACCACACTGATACACCTTCCATCCGCATTGCACGGGATTTTAGCAAACAACCGGGTCAAATCTAGTTACCCATGTCTGGAAGAGGATCCGACCAAATTTTTCAGGGCAGTACTTTTTTGTTTATTGCGGATGAATATTCAGAATATGTCAGAAATTCTCCACAATCTCTGAAACTATTACAACCTCACTTTCTAATCACCGGTTTGATCAGATTAGCTTCCAGGAAATACTTGTAACTGCTGAGTATTAGGAGAACCAGCTTCGAACGTAACGGGACTACATAACTGCCAATGGAATAACCGTTTTTCGTTGAGACAGATTTCATTGGTTGTTTTTCACTCGGCCTTGAGAGATGAGTTGTGTTCTTAGTATGAGTTATGACCGCATGTAGGCGACAGTGATCAATAGCGCAGCTGGCTCACACGTTCGTTGACTCGCGCGCATTAGGCGATCAGGTGATTATCCAGACCGGGGCTCACAGTAATAGGAAGGCGTTAAGGCACTGTGGTCCACAACACTAAGAGATGACAGTTTACATCAGAACAATTTTCTTGACTCTAAATATCGTCGGTGACCCTACTTGACATTCGCAATCCGGAGCGCTTTATGCCGCTCTGCACCAAACGTAACCGCACCAAAGAGAGTCTCGGCAGCAGAATTCCTCAGTTTGTACTAGCTCACTCAGTCAGTCCGTCACATCCGTGAGATGAGAGGCACGCAACGTAGCGAGTATGTCATTGTGATCTAGCTACAGAAGGACAGAGCCCAAACTTGCATCTGTCAACAAGACGGATGCACCCGAGGGAAGTTAACGCCGATGACTGCACAAGATGACTGCGTCCTGATTAAGATCGCTTAATTGATGAAACAGCATCGGTAGCTTATTGCTAGAAATATCAATTTTATGCGGTCACCACAGGAACAAATTTATCCAGTTGACCGGGAGATTAAAATTGCATCCATTTGATGTGGTGGATGATAACATGGATCAGAGCCATTTGCAGGCGGTTCACGTTTAAAGTACTTTATAAACACTGACTTGGTCATACTGCCTAGGTGTTGTTTCGTTGGCCATTTAAACTGGTAGAATGAGGTTTGATGAATTTCGAAAATCGTAACACCTGCGCACATTTTTGGGAAGCAAACGTTCATTTAGGTTAGGGAATATACACTCATCTGCAAACTAATTTGGTTCTTTCGAGAGACTCACGTGGAACCCAGCTGAATCTCTCGTTTATGATGTTCTCAGGCGACTGAATGTGCTGCACCAGGCCGCCTCATGTTTCAGTCGCTACGATATTTGAAATATCGCGATACATGTATATTTGTAATGTACTACTCATAAGGTTGCTGAAAATCCATCGACAGCCTGAGAACATCATAAAGGAGAGATTCAGCTGGGTTCCACGTGAGTCTCTCGAAAGAACCAAATTAGTTTGCAGATGAGTGTATATTCGCTAATTTCGTGCAATTTGGTTTCAAGTAGAACATAAGGTTGACGGAAACCCGGGGACTGCGCCTACCTGATGAGCCCCAAGAAGGGCGAAACCAGTCGTGGGCTGTCGATGGATTTTCAGCAACCTTATGAGTAGTACATTACACATGTTCATTTAGGTTTTTTTGTTAAGTTCACCCGAAGATTTATCATGTTCTCTTCACCGGTAACGGACTACGGAGTATTATAGGTTTTAGCGTTTTGGAAAGCATTCGTCTAGAAGTATCACAGGAATCAGTACACTTTTTCTTAAGAACTTAGTTTCACAATCTTTCAGATGAAGAGTTGCTTACTTACAAAACATCGTCACTTTCATACATGTGAGGGTGCCATAGCTGAATAATGCTCACATTTCATATGTGCTTCTCAGGTGACTTCAGTCAATGACCACGCGTTCACCACTCAACTGGAAGATGCAATGAACTTTGGTATGCCGTTGCTTATTGAAGACATTTCGGAACAGCTGAGCCCCATCATACTAGCTCTTCTAGAGGAAAGTGCTACACAACTTGAAGCAATCAAAGTGGTGAGTTCTGAACTGCGTTCCCCGCAAGCTCGTTCTATCTGCTTTTGACTCATTCACTGTACACTATGGATAAACCGTTGTACCTTGTCTTGTCGGGTTGTGCTAGAGGCGAGTTGGCCCAAGTGGTTAGAGCGCGAATTTACTGACCGGAGGGTCCGTGGTTCGAACCCGACCTCTACCTCTCGACTTCCCCTGTCTAGGCTTAGGCAACCTGCCAGCATTCCAGCCCTCGTACTTCCTTCAGGTGGCCCGGCAGTTAGGCACCGGTTGGGTGTTACAGCTGACCGACTTCGAGTTCGTGCTGGCATGGGATGTCATGGAAGTGTAGAGAATTCAAAAACTTAGGCAGCCTCCAGGTGAAAGTATTATGTACTTGTTAAAGAATGGCTGATAGAACATTTTTTAAAACAGAAATATGTGGTCGTCTAGAGATAAAACGGTCGTTTTTTATCTGTATACAATCAAAGTGCAGGCAGGAATGACGGTGCTCATATAAGTTGGTCATTTTACCTCCGTGTGTGCACCTTCTGCCAGGTCTTGGGTTCCGATAACTTGGATTTTAGGTGTGTTTGCCCGTTTCAGTTCCTGTTCTTTAAATTGAACGGTTTGCTCACTTCAGGGAATGTATCGATGCCTCCATACAAGATGCAAACAACGGATTTTCTCAAGGGACGTTGGTATGATGAAATCAAAATTGGGAGCGAGTTTAATTAGATTCTGCTTGAGATACGCAGTGAAAACGGAACAGTTGCACAGTGCTTGACAGCCCACGCTGAATTCACTTGGAGGGTGAGAACGTCGAGAAGTTTCCTGACTATATAAAACGTGTCAGTAAAGTATCCATCAATGATGTGATGGCGGATGATGTGATCCACCGGCGGGTTGCGAGGTCATTCTAACGGATTTTCCCAGCAGGTTTCAGGAGCAGTAGCTATTTGGACTGAAGCGGGCTTAAGCTTGCCATCCGATACCCCTATCAGATACGGTCTTCTCATGTGTACGATTCACCGCACCCTGTATACATTTTGATCACATTCCGCAATTTAACCGACTGTATAGGTGATCAGAGTCCAGGCCATTGCAGAAAAAAGAAGCCGAGTTCCACAATTCCACCCTTGGTTACTGATAGAAAACTTATCTAGAAGCGTCCGTTGCTGCTGACTGCAACCATCAAAGCATCTAGGTGCTGTGCGTTATCTGTCGTGATCTGATCCGAAGCAGAGAATCAGACAGCCGATTAGTTGATCGAGTGGAAAGGAAGTACATATCATAGCTGAATACAGGAGACCATGGAACGGATACTCTCTTGTAAATGTCTGGAATGTAGCGAGACATGTTTAAAAGCCGAGATAACCCTTGACACTCGTGTTTGAACAGGCAACTTGTCCTGAAAGGATGAATGCCTTAAATCTAGTCGGATGGTGCCACTGGACAGCCTTATTTTGTCATCTCATCTTCTAATTCGTGTTGTGAGACAAAACCGATCAGCTTACCTGCGAGACTGCTAAAACAGACCGTTGTTTCAACACCAGGTTCCCTGTCGACATCGTGCCATAGAATTACGAATACTGAACTAATTTGAACACACCGAAAAAGCTGACGATACCCTTTTGCAATGATACCACCATGCTGGATCGCCGAGCCGCAAAAGCTTTAACTCTCCAGAGTTTAAACTACCACAGAGACCATGGGAAGTGGGCTCGGCTAGACAAAACCTAACTCGGACAGACATCCAGGTTATCTGGACTCATCAGAGTAGTAACGTTCTGTTCGATAACTAAATGAAGTTCACTTTTGGTGGATGCAAGGGAAGTTAGTTGTGATGTGACGACCACAGAGATGTCATTTTTATCAGTTGAGGAACTAGTGACAAAGGGTTTTGTGATCGTTTGCACGTATCTTCTCAGCATGCGCACTGAGTGAGTCGCAAACCTGGATACCGTAGCAGTAGGCAGCGTTTCGTTCTGTTTCATGGCATCTAGTTTTTATTCTAAATCTCAACCTCATTGAGAACTTCCAAAGAATTATAGAAAGCCAAGTTTATCAAATGTGATACCTAGACGTGAGTTACAAGATTCTCTCACAGGGATATTAAGACAGATGGATCGGAATGTCATTCAGATACCCCTTGGAAGTATGCCTAATCGCTGGGTAGAGTTTGTGGCGTAGATAGTTCTGTCACCTCTGACGGGATCCTGAAAGTCCATTTCTCCAGGTAATACCATGTTAACATACGAATATGTTTTTTGAACGTATTTATTATATATCCATCAAAAAATTACCGTCCGACTGAATAGGGAAGGAGATATCTTTAAAAAAACAGATTTCACTCTAGGATGAACAATTACAAAGGACTTACCTGGAACAAATAGTGCTAAGTTCACAATGATGATTTGCTTTTCATGAAGAGGGATTTTCAATTAGTTTATTATCCTTTCCGTGCTTTTTCAAACGATCAAAGTGCTCAATAAAGTTTGCTTTAAACAAATTTCTAGGGACATTTGATTGCAAAGTGGCAAATATTACGTATATAGCTGCATTATTTACCTGAGTAAACAGATTACTTTTGGAGACAAGCAAACTCTGGTGGCCCAGAACTTCAGACTCTACCTTACTACGCACCTGTCGAAGCCCAACTTTCCTTCGGACGTCGGCTCTCGGATGACTATTATCGATTTCAGTACCACGCTAAAAGGCTTGGAAGATCAGTTGCTGGCTCGTGTCATTAACGTGGAAAGAGCAGTGAGTGTGGTGGAGAGGCTCCTGTTTTGTTTACCGTTTGTCTGTACTGGTGTGACTGACTGCCACCGTTAGGTCTTTGTGATCTACCCTCGGCTAAATTCAAAGCCCTGAGATAGGTTCATAATGAATGACGTTCTTACTACTCTAATTCACAGGAGATAACCGAATGCTAGAGGCGTTTGCCTGTTGTGGTAGGCTGTGAAAGTAGCTCCGTCGAAGCATATTATCGAAACACTACTTGTGAACACGAGTAGGTTGACAGACAACTAAGTGCTGTGAGCTGACAACGCGGGAACTTCGAAGCTTCTAAATTGGCTTCATGCTCTGAGCTCCCAAGGTATACCTTTGGGTGAGTCCATCAAAATAATTCCGGACAATTACATCACATCACCACATCACGTGAAGGAACATCAGTTGAATTCGAATAACCTATGGTTGTTGGTCTGTTCGCCGAGCTTGGCAGTTGGATTGCAAACATCCCATCACCAGTCGAGGTGAAATCATCAGTGCAGGGTTGAGTGGGTGAATTCCTCTTCTTCCGCCTGTGATTATATAGCTTCTAAACAGTATCTGGTAGTTTTGGAAACGGTCTTCGCGTAGTCTAATTGGTCTCCTGTGAATCTGACGGGGTCTCAATCTCCTGTGTCTGGTTGGTTCGTTGGGCGCATTCAATTCGGCATGTCTGGTTGTTCTGTTGTGATTCGGCCGTCTTCTTCTTGCTTTGTGGTGCGAGTTTGTTCCCTTGATTGGTTAATTCGGCGGCTTTTTGTTTTTAATGATTGTCTTCGTTTGATCCAAGTGCGAAGTATGAGGGTGTTCGAAAACTCGACAGTATTCTCGTTAAACACTTCGCGCATAGATTAATTCGGCAACTTCTCAGTTGTTCTCAATTCCTGCAGTCAATACATCGGTCACCACATTGATTTTGCACATCAGGGGGTATACTCTCTTTATATGCTTTGATTTGATTGGAAAAATATTTCCCTGAGTTCCCTGAAATGTTTCACACTTCAGAAAGTCGAAAGGGCACGACTGGAGCTGATAGCCGATGTGGCAAACAACCGAAGACTAATTTCCAAGTTGGAACACGATCTGCTGCATCATCTGGTTTCATGCCAAGGATCGCTGGTCGACGATATGAATCTAGTGGGGGTTCTTCGAGCTGCAAAGGATACCGCTCAGACCGTCACCAAGCAGTTAGCTCAGGCAGCCGATACAGAAACGGAAATAGACGAGGCTCGTGAAGCATACCGAGCAGTGGCCGTCCGAGGCTCGCTCATGTACTTCATACTGGCTGAACTGTCCATCGTGAACCAGATGTATCAGTTTGGGCTGCCCCAATTTATCCAGTTGTTTGATAACGCACTGCTTCAATCCGAAAGATCCCCAGTCACACAGCGGCGCATAACAAACATTTTACAATATATGACAAAATCAATCTGGCGTTTTGTAATGCGTTCGCTTTTCAAAAAAGATCGTTTGACGTTTACGCTGATTTTGGCCATACGCCTCCAACAAAATGTGGGATCAATTCAAAATTCCGAAATGGATGTCTTGGTTAGAGGCGGATCGATGTATACGATTGCCGACTGCCCAGCGAAACCCGCACGATGGATTCCGGATACCGCATGGATAAATTTGAAAGCCCTCTCTAAAGTGCCAGTATTCTCGGGCCTAATGCAGCACGTATGTTTTTTGCTTTGTTGATTTAAACGTTCAAGTTGTCAGAAGACCAGTAGCAAATGTTTATTGTAGTGACTAGTCTCAAGTTGGTTGAATGGCTAAGGTATGGATTTACTGATTGTAAGGTCCATGGTTCGAACTCAATCTCTTTATCTCGACCGCTGCTGTCTAAGTTTGAGCAACCTGGAAGTACTCCAGCACTCCTGCCATCTGGGCACCGAAGAGGTGTTACAGCTGAACGATTATTTCATTACTATTAGTAATCGAAGAAAGTCCAGACATAAGGTAAACTTAGGTTGCATTACAGATCCTTGGCAGGTGGTAGCCGCGTAAGCAAAATTTGATGGGAAATTGTAGCGTTTGTGACGCGTGATCTAGTGAATGACCGCTCCAGTTTCATAGGATCTACTCGCATTGTAACCATTCATTACGATTTCGGGGATTGCTTCATTGAAAGGATAGTCAACATCAGACCAAGGGATTTTTCAAAATTCGTTTTTATTAGATTAACCTGTCGAAAAATCGATCCAATGGTTGTTCAAGTGGTAAGAGCGCGAATTTACTAACCGCAAGGTCCGTGGTTCGAACCCGACCTCTGCCACTCGACTTCCCCTGTCTAGGCTTGGGCGACCTGGCAGTATCCCAGCCCTCATGCCTCCTTCGTGAAGCATGGCAGCTAGGCATCAAAAGGGTGCTACAGATGAACGCTTATTATTATTATTATTATCACTCCATCTCCTAAAGTATGCCGTTAATTTTCATTTTTATTGTCATTTTCAGTTCTTAATTCATGTTAAAACACCAATATTTATTCAAGTGTACTAAAATTTCCAGAGGAAACTGGGCACATTTACCACAGAAGCGCCCATGCTAAAAAATGACTGACAACAGTTGGCAGTGCTCAGAGTATGTCCTTTCAGCTGCATTGGCAGTTTCAGTGCAGTGAAGTCTAGCTTGAACGCATCAGTTTTGGCGCGAACAGGGTGGTAGATTTTCCAGTGCTTTTAGTGTCAGCTGGAGACAGTCCTTTCCCTGGCTTTGTTATCGATCGAAAAAGCAACAAGCATTTTACCTCGTTGAGAAATCAGGCAAACTGGAGGAAACTTTTAGGTCAAAACGCGTTCTTCACAGTTCTAATAGAAGCTACGCCCAGACGTTTTCCGGTAAACTCGGTAAGGCAGTGGAGGTGAAATGGTTGAAAATTGCCATCTTGAATTAAAAAAACCTTCCGCCGAGCAAGAGACTAAACATTAGCAAATGTAAGCAAGGGAGAGATACTACTCACACATACAATCGTCGCCAAAGATTTGGAACCTTATGATGCCCGATTCGTCACCTACCTTTCTCAGGCAGTTCAGCGCATATGCGTTCATCCGGTACTTCTTTCTTCCCAGACCCGCGCAAATTGTTTAACTAACCGAAATGTAGTCCACTCTCCTCTGATTTGCCTTCCACATATTTTGGTGCTTCTTGTAGCGGAAACCCCCCCGATGGATAGTGAATTCGCAGCACCAAACTTGCCCTGTACATAGATCATCCCAGAGTGAAGCAAGTAACTCAGCCAGTGAGCTGAGGTGCTGCAGTGCACTATCTCGCCATCATCATCGTCCGCACTAACACACCGGTACTTCGTAGTGGCACGTGACCGCCATGCACTACTGGGAAGTGGGTAACAGACAAGTAGGTGGTTAGTATGAAAACTTCTGTGCCCTTGGGGACCCTTGAACCGTACTAAAGCAAAGAAATTTAACTGTCATGCTCCGGTCACCATTGGCCTTGGTGAATTAGTGTCATTCGCTGAGCTCACCCGAAGTAAGCTCACCCGAAATAAGCTCAGTGCACAAGGAAATGCAAACTGTATTTGGGATTTTTAACTAGAAAATGACAATTTGTGTGCCGTTTGCAGCATTTTTCATACGGTGATGGGTTTCAAGTCTCGAAGCCAGGAGGATCACGTAGACCTCAGGCAGAAAGGAATAAAAATCCTGCAGCCCACTTTCATTTAACATTGCTGCGTCATGATCCGTACAGGCAAACATTCCGCCAGCAAAGTCGTGGGACGGAAATGAACGCCTTCGTAGGCAGACGCTTGTTAGTCGTGAGTAGTACATCCCAACTCCAGCAAAACCTGCTTAGTCTTATTTACCCCTCTACCGTTATCACCAACAACGCCGGTAACCGAAATCCGTGAACTCGTTTATTCCTTACTATGTGTGCATACTTGCAGAACAAACAGATCTCGAACGTAGATGTTCACCAATGGAGAATGGCAGGTGTTTGAAGCTCAAAGCCATCGCATTGCGCCTAACAAGATAAACATAATTCGTTAATTTAGCTACTTGAACGTTGTGAGTAGTTTAAATTTGTTCCCAGTTGTACTGGAATCCTCGTCCTGCTTGCTACGGAGTTTTCCAACCCAGCAATCTCAACCGAATTGCCAAGGGTTCACATAATCCATAGAAGAATAATCAACTTGTATTTTGGAAACCATGTGGGTTTCACGAAATAAATCCCCAATTCCTGCACCTCAAAGGAAATTGGATCGATGCACGAAGTAGACTTGGAAAAAATAATTACGTGGTCCACATGTTAAGTGAGTATGAAAATTGAGAAGAAAACACTGAATTTATCCGAATGTAAGCACAATTAAACAAAAGTGTGTCAACAGTATGGGAAACTATGGACTTTAATTACGGGGAAATTGTGTCCGAACGTCGACCCTTGATTTTTGCATGGTTCCCAGAAAACCATAGTTTGACGTTAGCCCTAAACTAATGGCCGTGGAATTTGTGTATGCTATGACTCGAGCAAATTTACTACTAGAATCCGCTAGCCGCTTGAAATCGGCTTCTACTCTGAGGTTCTTCATCATCGTCTGGCACGGTTACCTCATCTGTTCGGTCACACTGCAAGAGCGGTGAAGTTAAATCCCAACTCTCTCACAAACACAAAGGTTTGTGTGTCGCTATAGTCTGTGTATCTAATTCGCACGCATGTGTAGCTCTATGAGACAAAATGCAACTAACTGGTCGGGTTTACAAGAGGCACGCAGCTTGCGAGATTATGCGTCTGAGAGCATTGGAGCTCAGGTAGATTTTTCGAAAAATGAGTTTAACCTGAACTTTGTCCGATTGAGTGCTCAAGGTGGAAGTAAGTATTTATGTCTTTGTTTTGAATTCAAGTCACCTCTGACTGTCATTTTGCAGGACTAAGGCGTCGTCAGATTTGCAGTTACTTGGTTGGTTTTCCTCTATCACCGGAAGGCGTGCAAAAAACATCCATAAAGTTCTCCGAATCTATCCAGAAATCAGTCACTACAATCAACTATTCGATCTGTTTGTCCACGAACACCCGAGAGATGACCTATGGCCCAACTGAGCACTACTCCGTCCAAACAATCTGACAATCTGCAGAACAGTCCTGTTGCAACTTTTCTTATGCCATCATACTTGACGACGCAGCATGGTATTTACAAAACGTCTGTCACTTCCAACCGGAGGTGATATGTTCTACGCGACCAACAACTACACATTGACTGAACCAAGGTATGCTAAGCATTTGGTTGGATTCAACCGTGAGAGACAAGGACACCTCAGTGCAGACAGGGAATGTGAACAAAAGTCACCCCTGTCAATCGGATGACACTACCAAAGATGAAGCACCTGTAGTGATACAATGTCATTTGTAGATAAACTTTACCGAATATATGTTGCATCTCATTTTTGAATGGCCACTGTGCGCCGTCATCAAACGATGTCACGAGAAGCTTTGTTGCTACCGTTGAAAGAAAGAAGGCCCTCGCTGCGGAGTTATTTATTAGAAAAGTTCAACTGACCAGTCACCGACTATTGGACAGGGAAGCAAAACTCTCATTTGCGTGTTATTCACAAAAACTGGACATCCATCTTCTCCTGAACGCGTCTTCTTGAACTGTCCTGGATATTCATTGATTCCAAGCATTCATTGCTCAAATCCAGGCAAATGCTACAAAGCGACTCCATGAAGTCCGCAACAGATCTCTCTTTTCAAGAGACGCAAAGCGAATTTATAAGAACAAAACATACTACTCGCATGCCTCTCCATCAGTAGCATCGCCGTTACACCATCCTTTGGATTTTGAGAAATTGTCACGTTTTGATACCCAGTTATGGGTTTCAAGCTTTCGTACAGTGGCTGAAAACAAGTGAACAAATAAACCATGTTGGACCATATTAAAAGCTTGTGATTATAGTTGGTTCGTGATTCATTCGAAACCAAATCCGTATATACATGAGAGTTAGTAATTGATCAGGTGGCTGTTGATCCGTTCTCGGCAGCTTATTTGCAAGCGTTGCGTCACCATTCGAGGAGATATCTTCAATGCGTTGTTGGTTGGGTAGTTCCCCTCTTCGTGCCTGCGTTTATATAGTTTGCAACGAGCAGCCTTTGCTCTGTAACCTGATTGGCCATTGACAATCATCCTACTTAGATTCTGGTTGGTCCGATCTTAATCTGTGTTGCGTTTTGGGTTGTATTTCTTGCTCCTTACGGTCATGCTACTGTTGAAATAGCTGTGTATTGTAGTCTCTTCCAGCTGGCCCGTTCGTGCTCTGTATTACGTCACGGTCGTCTTCTCTGTTTTTTTATTGGTTTGTGGTGTACTTCTTATTTTTAATAGTCTGTTGTTCTCTTGATTTCTTCCTCGAGTCCTTGTTCGGCTCCGGGCTTTCGGTTCTGGACTTCCTTTATCCTCAGAAACTGTTAGACAGGATCGATATCAATGCGTTTCTTTATTGCTTCATCACTGATGATGGAAAACCCACTAATATCTATAAGGTGATAGAAAGGCAGAGCCGGAATTAAGCCTACAAACTTAGTAAACCCGACTAAATCTATAACTGTTGCGTGATTTTTCAAAATCTTGCTTCATTTCACCAACTAAAATTTATGGATTCTATTCGAAAATTTCATACCATAAGTTGTGGTTCTACGTAAACGTCACGGAGACACTGGACGTGACCGTGGTGTGACGGTTTGCGCACTTCAGCGATCCATTGAGCTATACTGGGGAGTGTCCCCGCGGCCCTCACAGGGTCTCTCACAACAGGGTGGTCAATGGTCAAATGTCTGACGAACACTGTCTCCTGGCCCTCCAGGTTGGGGGTGGGAACATGTGGCGACTCGTTCCGCGGAAATGGTAATGCATTTGCATTTCCCGCCAAACACCGCTGCCTTGCGGTTAAGCTTTTGAGCCAAAGACTTTGGTTGAGGACCCTAATCGTCCTCCTGTCTAGACTTGGGTGCCCTGAAAGTATCCCAGCCCACATACAACCAGTACGGCAACGAAGCAGCTATGTTGGGCACTGATGTCATGCTGTCAATGATGACGATGATGACGATGATGATAATGATAATGATGATGATGATGATGATGATGATTTTACGTAATACATTCATTCCCCTTGTTCTGCACTCAGATCATTCATCACGAACGCCAGTGGAAACAATGGTATGATAGAGAATTTCCAGAAGAATTCCCCATCCCTGCTCCATGCGAAGCAGAACTTCGACCATTTGCACGTTTGCTATTGATCCGCTGCTGGTGCCTGGATCGGTTTCTCGCACAGGCCAAAAAATATATTAGCCAGGTGCTGGGACCCAGTTTCGCTGAGGATGTGCTATTGCAACCCGAACAGTGAGTTTGAAACCTTATATGAAGATGTCTGACCAATTCCATCACTGGAGCGTGACGTTTGTTTTTTTCACGGTCGATATACTGTTACATGGTCCACGGCAGTTTCTGACAAAACACTTTTCAAATCTATTGATATCACACTACTCATAAGGTCGATGAAACCTCTGAACAGGCTACCTCCGGTTTCACAGTTTTTGAGGTTGTTCACATCACCTAACTTACTGGAATACCCAACTGAACTAGGGGTTCGTTTGAATTCTAGCCGAGCCGCCCGCGGTTCACAGTTTATATCAGTTCACAAACTAGTATTTTTCTCAACAAACTTTCAAGTGAATTAATCGGTGCTTGATGAATTTTCTTCAAGCAACTCTTTCCGCTTTCGAGCACGGAATTATCCAGATTACGTACGGTAAGGCTTGTGACCGATTCTTCTGTTCATGGTTCATCTATTGCGGGGTGATGGCATTCTGCTTGGGACATCTGGTATGGTAAAGATAATAGATAATCGTTCAGCTGTAACATCCTTATGGTGCTTAACTGCCATACCACCAGGAGAAGAACGAGGACTGGGATACTGTCAGGTTGCTTGAACCTAGACAAAGGAAGTCGAGATGCAGAGATCGGGTTTGAACCACGGACCTTCCGGTCAGTAAATTTGCGCTCTAACCACTTGAACCATCTCGCCTTCCATCAAGTTTCTCAAACCACTCAAGTCCAAGAATGTTCAAATTCGGACAGTCAGTGAAATAACGAGTTTCTGATAAATGCAAGTTGCAAGCTAACTTGCCAGTCAGTATTAGGGTATTTCCATTTGCAATTTGTGCCCGTTGATTCGTGAATGATACAATAGGTGTCGGGATGCAGAGATCGGGATCGAACCACGGACCTTCCAGTCAGTAAATTCGCTCTCTAACCACTTGGGCCATCTCGCCGCATCCGGTATTGTGGACAGCATCAAATTCAGACAGCCACAAGTTTAATCGTGACATCAAGTGAGATAGCGTCGTCGCCGGATGGATGTGTGATGGCAGTGTGATCAGAGAATCTAGTTCACCAACAATAGCTGTCGTAAAGTTACTCTCTGTTTTCTTTGGAAGTGCAAGGACAGAATATATATTCTTATTTTTTTAGGAGACTACAGAGTTTAGCGGCAAGTGCACCGGAAAAAAGGCCTCGTCGAAAGGGAATTCCGCTTCATAGTGGATATCTGAACAAAGCGGTTTGTGTAGAGTTTTCTCCCGCGGACACGTGTCCGAATGCTTTGAATGTTTTCTAGAGACGTGGTGAAAAGTGAATCTGATCGGACTTACTAATGTTCACCGAATCAGGCGGTAGTCACCGCAACCTGAACAAATGCATCGAGTCATAGAAGCAACTTGGTCATAGTTTTCGGGATATATATATATATATATATATATATATATATATATATATATATATTCACACACGATCATAAATTCTACAACCGCCACAATTAGCCTTGAGCTAACAGGAGATTCAGCTGGTCACCAGGTGAATTCCACGTTGATATTCTCTAACCAAATGTGCTGCACAACAAGCAAACTAGTAACTATTTCCAATTACGCTAAAAATGGTATTCAGGTAGAGGATAAGATTAACGGCAACTCGAGGATTTCGTCTGCCTGATAAGGCCCAACAATAGGAGATCGGTATTGGATAGTAGAGGAGTCTTGCAACTCGTTTCGCATGAAGCAAGGTTAGAATTTATACTTTGTGAGATTGCTATCCAATCCGACCGACAACGTGATACAACTTGCAACATTAAGGTAACTGGTAGTTTTTTCTGATGCAGTTACCGAGCATCGCTCGGTAATGAAAGGTTAGCAAATCATTTGGTGTTTCGTTCGTACAGTTGAAGAAGAGCTCTAACAAGAGCGAAACTCGAGTCCAGTGCTTCACCCCCCCCCCTTTGGTGTGGATTCACATAAATAATTGAGCCAGGACAGGAGGACGAGTGTTCCAAACGACAGTGATGTGAAACTGAACAATACACCTCCCGCAAAACCCCCACATGCATCAACATTCATACATGTCAGGTATTCCAAAGCTCCTTGGAAAGAGACTGTTTGAGAATCTCTACTCTTTTTTCATTCTAAAAATGCGATGTGTTTGCATAACTTGGTTAAAAATCAAGTACTTGTAGTCGTGCTGAAGATGTCGCATCAGATGAACAACAACAAAGTTTGTAGATTTGTTGCTTTGGTAAGCCACAACAGGTTCTTTTTTTCGAAAATTGAAACCTCACATGGAATAACAGACCCCTTTCTTTCTCACGTGCACTTTACTTACCTGTACTTTTTAATTCGCCTTCCACTGCAAAAGCCACCTTCTCTTATTATGACTGCCAGGTTAGTACAACAGTCCGCCCGCTGGTCACCAATTGTGAATTTCCTGAGTACAGGTGCAGACCCAACAATGCTGATCGAACAGTTGGCACGCAAGCAGCGAATTTCCCTTCAGACTGTGTCCATGGGAGAAGGACAGGATGGCGTGGCGAGAAAAGCTGTTCGAAAAGCCATGCTCGATGGCACTTGGGTCTTACTACAGAACTGCCACCTCACCCTAGACTATATGTCAGAAGTCTACAACGATGTGACCGAACTGATACCGCGTACGGTTCTTCTGAATCGAAGGAACACTTTCTCAAGTGCCGAAAAACCAGACGATTTCCCCGACTTTGCCACAATGGATTTGTCCACATCAAGAAAACGTACACAAAGCACGGATAATTCCAGCGTATCGATCCAGGATAGTTTCCGTTTATGGCTTACAACTGAGGTGCACAGTCGATTTCCCGCAAATCTATTGCAGATTTCCATAAAGTTCACCAATGAACCTCCCGAAGGAATTAAAGCCAGTCTGTTGAGAACGTACGGAGATGTTACACAGGATTTGTTGGACTCATGTATCAGTGCCGAGTGGAGATCTCTGCTGTATACTTTGGCTTTTCTCCACTGTACGGTGCAAGAGCGGAGAAAGTACGGATCCATGGGTTGGTCACAGCCGTACGAATTCAATCAGTCGGACTTCAATGCCAACGTACAATTTGTGCAACACCATATTGACCAGATAGAGTTTTCAAGACACACGACAAAGAACAGCGTGAGTGGGATAGGCATACTGGGGACGACAAAGTTTGATTTGTGTGATAGTTCTTTCGCGCTTTGTTACCGCCTTCTTCCTGGCGGAAGTCTAGGGTCATCAACACCACAGAACCCTATGAGAATCAAACGGAAGTCGAGTGATTGCAAATGTTGCATTTGTTGTATACACCGAGAAGAGGCATGTAATTTGCTCCTGGTTTCCAGTGGGATCAAGCCCCATTTATTCACGGTAGATGGTGTTTCTCTCCAAGTGCTCGGATAAGTAGGTGAATCCACGCAGTCGCACGTAACGCATGTGTTATCCCTAGGATTGAATGTATACTGATTGTCTTAAATAAGCAGTGTGAACTTATGTTTTGTATACGATCAATTTGGTGCACTGCATAAAGTATGAAGAGTTTTGTTTGAGGTCTGAATGAACAGTGTATCTTGAAGTTGGTCCCCCACAACATAAGCTTCGTCGCCAGCCCTCGTTTGAACAATCCACTTGCCTGTAGTGAGTAGTTTGTAAAATGCTGAGGAAAGAAGTTGTAAGCCAGACCAAATGCGTCTTTTGTGAGAGGTCTTCGCTGGAGATGCGAGTCAACCTCGGCTTGGGTGACGCATGTCCGCAGTATCATGGGTGGGTGGTACTGTTTTCTTGGGATCACACTACAGTAGGGGACCTTTATAGTAGATGATATCTTCATTCAACCCGATTGGATGTAGGTGAAAGATGAGACAATATTTGGTTTGAGCGATTTACTGGAAATAAGCGGTACACATTTTCCTAGTACGATACTACTCGTGAGCGTGGTGAAAGACTTTTACTTCAACGAATGGAAGTTCGAAATCGGTCAGGCGCTTTCAGCATCAGCTGTCAACGATTGAATGTCGCCTATGCTACCTACCCAGTCTCAGCTTCTATTTTAAATTCCTTCTAACATTAGAAGCTTTATTTGCTTTGGGACTCCTCTTTGCATGTCACTGGTGCTTAAGATGTGGGCCATAGAGCCAGTTGAACACGTTTGTTTTCTGATGCGATCGCTCTAAGTGTGCCTGCTGTGAGAAGCAACTTGACCAAAAACGGACAGTAACATTGCACCGTGTGCAAAGCTGTTAATATGTTACAACTCTCTGAAGTTTAGGTCCGTTGGGCTGGGGACGACAAAGTTTGATTTTTGTCATAGTTCTTTCGCGCTTTGTTGCCGCATTCTTGCTAGAGAAAGTCTAGGGTCATCACCACCACAGAACCCTGTGAGAATCATACGGATATCGAATGATTGCAAATGTTGCATTTGTTGGATACACCGAGAAGAGGCATGTAATTTGCTCCTGGTTTCCAGTGGGATCAAGCCCCATTTATTCACGGTAGATGGTGTTTCTCTCCAAGTGCTCGGATAAGTAGGTGAATCCACGCAGTCGCACGTAACGCATGTGTTATCCCTAGGATTGAATGTATACTGATTGTCTTAAATAAGCAGTGTGAACTTATGTTTTGTATACGATCAATTTGGTGCACTGCATAAAGTATGAAGAGTTTTGTTTGAGGTCTGAATGAACAGTGTATCTTGAAGTTGGTCCCCCACAACATAAGCTTCGTCGCCAGCCCTCGTTTGAACAATCCACTTGCCTGTAGTGAGTAGTTTGTAAAATGCTGAGGAAAGAAGTTGTAAGCCAGACCAAATGCGTCTTTTGTGAGAGGTCTTCGCTGGAGATGCGAGTCAACCTCGGCTTGGGTGACGCATGTCCGCAGTATCATGGGTGGGTGGTACTGTTTTCTTGGGATCACACTACAGTAGGGGACCTTTATAGTAGATGATATCTTCATTCAACCCGATTGGATGTAGGTGAAAGATGAGACAATATTTGGTTTGAGCGATTTACTGGAAATAAGGGGTACACATTTTCCTAGTACGATACTACTCGTGAGCGTGGTGAAAGACTTTTACTTCAACGAATGGAAGTTCGAAATCGGTCAGGCGCTTTCAGCATCAGCTGTCAACGATTGAATGTCGCCTATGCTACCTACCCAGTCTCAGCTTCTATTTTAAATTCCTTCTAACATTAGAAGCTTTATTTGCTTTGGGACTCCTCTTTGCATGTCACTGGTGCTTAAGATGTGGGCCATAGAGCCAGTTGAACACGTTTGTTTTCTGATGCGATCGCTCTAAGTGTGCCTGCTGTGAGAAGCAACTTGACCAAAAACGGACAGTAACATTGCACCGTGTGCAAAGCTGTTAATATGTTACAACTCTCTGAAGTTTAGGTCCGTTGGGCGGAAATAAGCAAAAACGATTGCTACCGGTGTAACTGAGCATCATCTACCGTGCAATCCACATCGTTGTGGATGTGCAAAATCGCTTCGAATCACACCAAATCGATTCAGGAATACCACAGTCCAAGTAAACCGATATTCGAACTTTCATTTAATCATGTTCCAAACGTGCTGGAGGACTGGTGTAACGGTAGGTGCTACTGATGAGGCATGCGAGTAGTATACTCTCTTGTAAATTCGCTTGAAAAGTGAGATTTATTACAGAATTTGTGGAGTCGCTTTGTAGCATTTGCTTGCATTTGAGTAACAGTCAATGAATAACCTGGAAAGTTCAGGAAGACGCGTTCAAGGAGAAGGTGGAGATTTAGTTTTTTAAACAGATGCATATGAGAGTTTTACTCTCCTGTCCTATAGTCTGTAACTTTTCAGTACATATATAGTCTAGCCATTTCAATCTCCATGGACAGCGTCGGCACATACATTGAGGTAAACCATATCATGTTCTTCCTGGAGCTGTCTACCCAGTCTTATAACCAGTTTCACTTGGTTAATAGCCGGTTATCATCACCTGTATTTTAAATCAAAGGTACTGAGCTACAAAGTCTAGAGGTCTGACTTTTGTCACACACGCCGATCCATAGTGATAAAGTCTGTCTCATAAAACCCTGTTTATTTCCCGATTAGATTATGTATCCTTTGGAAAATCTTTCGTATTTACAAATCTTTTGAGGGGTATTTTAGAGTATATATATAGTCTAGCCATTTCAATCTCCATGGACAGCGTCGGCACATACATTGAGGTAAACCATATCATGTTCTTCCTGGAGCTGTCTACCCAGTCTTATAACCAGTTTCACTTGGTTAATAGCCGGTTATCATCACCTGTATTTTAAATCAAAGGTACTGAGCTACAAAGTCTAGAGGTCTGACTTTTGTCACACACGCCGATCCATAGTGATAAAGTCTGTCTCATAAAACCCTGTTTATTTCCCGATTAGATTATGTATCCTTTGGAAAATCTTTCGTATTTACAAATCTTTTGAGGGGTATTTTAGTCCTCGAGGGTGACTGTTCTGTGCACCATTCAATTTTCTTGTTTCATTTTAGACTTTGGATTGGAAGTGCCTACGATATATGATTGCGGAGATCCAATACGGTGGACGCATAACCAATCAATATGATCTACGTTTACTAAAAACTCTGACTCAGACGTTCTTTCACGAACGCATGTTTAGTTCGGACTATCAGCTAGCGCCCAACTACCAAGTGCCCCAACTGAACACGATAGCTCAGTATGAGAGCTTCATCCAAGATTTGCCCAGTCGAGACTCATCTGAAGCCTTTCATTTGCATGCGAACGCAGATATCGAGTAAGTACTGGACATCGTCAACTCAAGGAACAAAAGGTCAAATAAGCATCAAAAACAGCATCAACTCATTGTACTTGTGTCTAATTTTTTGGTGTTTGAGAACGGTTTCAACCACGTAGCCAGTCGAATGGATTATTTTAAAGGGTGAAACGACTGAAAGCAGTCTGACAGAAGGCTTAGTTTTAGTGGTGACCTCCGTAAAATCCACGATACCCCGTGAAATTCCATTTTGAAAAATTTGCGCGAAATACAAGTCCTGTACGTTGGGGTCCACAGGTGCAAAATCATCCCGTTAAGAATAATTATTGTTAGCTCTGGCCATGAAACATTTGATCGCACAAAATGGAAATTCTTATGTAGAATGTGTCATGTTCAAATGCTGTTGAAGGCGAATTTTAAGCTTTTTCAACCCCCTACAACATTAATTGGTTGAAAGTAGTCAAGACTTGAATTTTTCAAACAGGATTTGTCGGGTTTTTGGCCTCTGGAATTCTTGTGATTATAAACAATGGGCAAAGTAAAATTGGAGAGGTGAAAAATTCGAAAGTTACCAAGTTCCGTCCATGTTTACTTGCAGTCATCCACATCATCCATCCTAAACCGTGGGCCAAAATGCGAGACGGCGATCAACCGACTGCAGTCAGTACCACTGACGAGAGCTTATGATGCTTTAGGTTGCCTCTCTGGGATAAAAAGAATGTCTTATTCCCAAGCTGACATTCGCCCTGATAACAGGTATTATAAAAGATGCTCCAGGCGTTCATTTGATAGCCCGACTGGCAAATGAGTCTACACTCATGTACGCGTAGTCCATGCAACAGTTCTACCAATAGGAGTGCCCGATCGAACAGCCAATCATGATCAAAGGTCACTCCAGCTGGCGAGAGACAATGACCACGCACACACGCACCACTACTCAACGCGCAACCACTGACGCACCGCTATGCTCCACTCCTCGCGCCAACGACGGACTGATGACGCCATCTCGATTGATGGTGAACCCTCATATTCTCGCCTTTTGACTCAGCAATGATTGTGGAGGACACAACACCTATGATCATCAGCAGCTTATCCCGGCCGTTGTTTTTATCGGTTAAGCTAGTGACCTCATACTTTGGACACCGAACTTTCTAATCAATTCGGTGAGCCGAACCGACAAGCCAAAACAGTTCCTAGGATACCCAGTGAGTTTGATTAGGCCACTTCCTAGGATAGTGAGTTTGATTAGGCCACAACTAAGGAAGATATTGGCTCCAGTATCTAGACCCAGTAAGGAATGGATTGGCACAGCAGGCAGTCCATATAAAGCAGGAACATCGGAGGTTATTCGAAGATCGTTGAACTTGGCCAACATTCGAGTATACAAAATTAACTGCAAAGATTACGCTAAGGTTTACATCGGACAAACGTCCGGGGAATAGAATTGCACAATTGGTGAGCATAAAAGAAGGATTAACAAACCACCAAGGAATGCAGAAGAATACCGAACGCTGGTCAAAGACTAAGCGATGCGATGACATGCCTTAGATACGGGACATAGGATAGATCTCGAGAATGTGGAAGTTTTAAGACAGGGACTGCGATTCATACCACAGCTGCTGATGGCCGAGGCGGTCGAAATCACTAAGCATCACAGCGTGAATAGAATCGAA